CTTGAGGTGCAGATTGGTTGTCCACCACCTGGGTGGCAATTACAGAAAAAAGTTTCTGAAGGTTTGCCTCCCGTTAATCAGATTGTACCAGCATATGGTAGGTAACTTGTGTTGATGCTGAGAATTGTTCAGGCTGCCCCTGTGGTTTTGCACAGTTGAAAGATCGTTATATACTTCACATAGTCACTGAAATTACTGAGCTGTTATTAAACTTAGTGCAGAAAAAGATGGAAAGCCAAACTTGCTATGCTTACAGAACAAATACTATGTTTTTCATAAATTACAGTAAGTAAAAGGTATTTAAAATTGTGTTTTGTAATCTTCGCTCATATTTGGAAGTAGTGAACTCTGTGAATTCTGGCATCATTACCAAGTTGTTAAATGCTTGTGTCTGTGAATTTAGTTACGATCTCTGAGCTATATGCAGTATATTGTGCTTCCATATGAACCAAAACCAGAAGAGCTTGCAGAGATATACCAGGGTAGAGATTGCAGCATCTTACTTGTTGATGGTTTTTGCCTTGTCAGTTACTATGTTCTTAATAGGACACTTGTGTCCATCTTCTGGCATGTGAAAAACTGCCTTTCTGCCATCTAATTCTGTGCAAACAAGTCAGGAAAGAGAATGAAGAACAGAAAAGAATTTCTGAAATGGCAGTACTTCAGTACAGCAAAATAAGTCCTTCATGTTAGGAAGATGTTTGGCACTTGTTTTCATAAGGGATGAAGATAAAAACTGCATTGATGCATGAGTGTAATTCTAGATATTAGATTTATGTCACTCAAATTATCTGGAGTCTACTCTGCAGATCATTGATTTTACTTCAAATTATTTTACCATTTGACGTGTTATTTTGTTACTACTTGCCCCTGTTGCAAGCCTCAGTAGTTTAGATACAGCTGTAACAGGAATATGTTTGTTTCATTTCTAAAAGTCCTATAGCAGTGATGGGTCAAATACTGACTCAGGACCCTTATGATATTATGATATATGAATGAGAGCAAGAAATTTTTATTTAGATCTCTTACGATGACAGCTATTCTTGGTGAATTTAACTTGTTGGATATGTGACGTGGATATTCCTGCACATTGTAGCTGACTTCTCTTTTGTTTGTTCTGTACCTGTATTGATAGGGAGTTCTTGATATTTTTGTCATGTTTTCTGGGATCTGGCAGAATCTCAATGAGTTGAAGTATTTTGCTTGCTGATTATGTAGCAGAAGATAAGGAAACTATCACACTTACAGTTGGTTATGCAAGTTTTATATTGCTCTATAACAATTTTTGAAAGACACTATTGGACTCTTTGCACCATGTCTTATTCTGTGTTGGTTCTGACTATGAGTTATTGCTGACTTGCCTGCTAAGGTTAACAGAAGGCAATAGGATTTTGACTTGCTCTGTTGCGTTCAGAGCTCAGAGGGTACAGTTGAACAGTTGCTCGTCAGCCAGTATCAGAACAATAAAAATAAGAATTTGGGGTTTTTCTATTTTGTCATTTTGTCCAGTGTGTCTAAGGCTGATAGGTTCCTGATGAAATGAGAATAGTTTCTTCAATATGTTCTTTCTGCCAAGGATGAAAGGTGGTGCTATGGAGCTGAGATTTTCTTCCTGTTTTCTATGGCTCCAAGTTCTCCACAGCTTGCAGGGGACTCCACATATGCTGAAAGAAGATATAAAAGAGTATGACAGTAGTTGAAACTACTGCAAGACTGACAATGAATGTGCTGACCAAAATCTGACTGGTACTGATACAGCGTACCTCAGTGCTGTGGCTCCCTTGGAACCAGGGCTTTCTTTAGCAAGCTTTAGTTATCTCTCTCATAGTGTGATGTTTTTGTTGGAAGGTATGTTGTATGGTAGCCTTCTCTGAACCTAGAAGTCCTCATATAGAGGTGACAGAACAGTCCTACAAGATGCTCTAGTTCTTTGTCTTGCCTAAATAAGAATTGTTTTCCTGTAAGTGGGTTGACACTGTTATTTGTTGTCAGTGGTTTGATATTGTGAAGGCAGTAATGAAAAAGAAAAAAGCAAACAAACCCCAAAACAAAAAACCCAAACCACCACAAACTTGAACGCTTTGACAGCACTGAGTTCTTGCCACCAGATTACCCTGCCACTAGGGTAAGATTATAAGGATGAGATATGTCATGACAGGGAGACATATTTAAATGTGAAAGCTCATCTTCATAATTGAGAATGAGCAAAACTTGACAAATGTAGGGAGAAGAAAATCTGTTTGAGTTTCTACTAGGCACCCCCCCCCAAATTGAGGCTGAGGTTGGTTAAGCTGGATGTCTTACTACAGTCCTCTTAATTTTGGGAGGGCACTGGGAGCACCTGATGGATTGCAAGGTGCTGTGACTAGCTACTTGCTGATTGTGAGTGAGGTGTAGCCTGGGATGGCTGAGGTGCCATCTTCATTTATGTAGCAGTCCTGAACAGATTTCTCTTGTGCTGTTCTGGGATGGTTGTGAGAAAGGAGGAAGAAATAAATGTGGACTGAATTCTTTGCTTATGTTTGGTTTGGTCCCTTTTCTCTCCAGAGCAGACTGATGGCATCTTGGACTCATTGTGGGAAAAACTCATAGGCCCTGAAGGAGGGCTAAGCATCATGCAGATAAGAGACAAGCAAACACCAAATTTGTTATTGTAGATGTTGTAATTACAATGTAGTTACATTATTAGATCAGAAGATTTAACAAGATTTTGAATAATGTGTTCTTAAGAAGTTGGTTTCTGTCACTTGATGATGATCTGGTATAGTTCTAAAAATGCAGAGGTCCAAACTCAGTATGAAGCAGGTCAGAAACAAGAAGCTAAGTAAAGTGGTGGTCAATGCTTTCTTTATTCAAGCACTGTCAAAGATGAATTCACAGACCTAGGGATGTTGTCATATTCTCTTACTGAAGGTTGAACAGAGATGTAGCTTGGTTCACATGTAAGCTGTTGCATTACAAGGAGTAATGCTAAAGTGCGCTCTTGACAAGCTAAGACCATTTTGAGAAAGGGCTGAAAATATGTTCTGCAGCTGTTAGAGGAAGAAACAGGAGATGTGCTAGGCATAACAGACTAGAAAGAGATATGGTCCAACTTGTCCCTTGCTACATTTGCAAGAGCTAGAGGCAGTATCATAGTGCAGATTCCACTATCTGCTTCTGCTGCTGAGGGGGCTGGAACTGTGAATTTTCTTTCTTTCTTCCTTTTTTTCCTAACTTTCTTTGAAGTCGGACAACTGTGCTGCACTGGTGCAACCTTTCTGGTTGCTGGCAGAGAGGAGGAATGTCCACTTTTTCTTGCTGTGTTGTTTACTCTTCCTTTGTTCCTTCATTGACATTCTTTACCTGTCAGAAATGTTCTGAATGAAGTGTGTGCTCTGCAAACAGGCAGGTTTGCGAAACTGGTAAGTGTTTGATCTTTGCTGCAACTGAGAATGAAATCGGTAAGATATTTAAAGTTTTGTGTTGGAGATCGCTCACATAAGAGGCTGGAATGACCCTTGTGCATCTTTGTAAAGAAAATAGGTGAGGCTTGTAAATGAGATGATGTGTTACTCTAAAGGGATTAAATTATTTCCCAAAGCATGTTTGTTTAAAACACTGAGTTTAACTTTTAAACACCTCATCTGAAGAATGTATTGCATTCCACATGTAGCTGATTATTTCTTAAGTTAACCTGTCAGTATGACTGTGGTTATTCAAAATAAATGGAGTTGAAGAACCTTTGTCCATTTGTTAAAAAGGGAAATGCAGAACTGTGTTCAGTATATCAGCTGTGTGCTATGAAGTAGTTACGGCTAACTAGCATTTGATTTTCTTTTCCTCTCCAATGTGTTCTGTGTTTGCGTATTGGTCTTAAAATGGTACTTTATTCTTCTGTACTTTAAAAAAAAATCAGGATCTATATGGTGATTGTGCTTGCAGGTGTGTGCAGTTATAAGTAGGGGTTTTTTCTGCCTTAAAAGTCAGATTGCTGTCCCTTCTAATCTGTTGAAATTATAGTAGGTGAAGAAGTTGTGTTGGGTGAGAGGCTTTGTGGTAACCAGCAAACATGATGCCTCACCCAGATGCATTCAGATATAGTGCAAGTAACGATTTCAAATCGCTTAATTCTCCTGAATTCACGCAGTATTTGAATATGGATAGATGAATGGCTTTAAGGACTTTTTTGTTGTTGAAAAGTTATAAGGGCTTGAAAAAAATTACTGGCTCCTAGCCAAGGAGTAAGTTTTCCTGGCTAACAGTAGCTGTGGAAAGTGAAGGGTGGATGTTCCCAGAAGGAATTTCATGGCAGCCACCAGACTCCTTGCTGTTCTGTTTTTTCACTGTGAAAAAGTTGGAAGTGCATCAAAATACAGTCTTCTGTCTGACTTTTTTGTCTCTTGGCTACCATAGGTATGCCACAGTTTCATTTTAGTGCTTCCTGTGATGCGTTGCGCTCTTCTGGGAATTTTGAATGTAATTTATACCATTACAAAAATGAAAAGGAGTTGCATTTTAGGAAAACACAGTATACCTGTCACCATGGGTAGAGATGGCCTGATTTATTTGCTGAGGTCTTATTTCAAGACGTTAGTCTGATATTTCCTTTCTTTCAGTAGAGACAAGTAGAGTTTTGCTTTTAACTGACATGTGTTTCCACAAAATTTGTAAAAGCTTATTTATTTTTGAGACTTCTGCTTTTCTCCACTTCTGCTCTCTGCATCTTCTGCTTCTCTATTAAATTTGTCTGAATCCCCCTCCTCTCATACTTTGATGATAGACTCTAAGAAATTGTATGATGAACTAAGCTTTTTCTTTTTGTGTAGGAAAGCAGGCCGAAAATCTTGTTCTGCAATCCCTGCCACCCAAAACACAAAAGTACTCGACTGTCTTTAAATGTAACTGCTGTCTGTGATTGAACAATCCTGCCTTGCGAGTTAATGTGAATGAGAGAGTTTCTTGAATGTTTTTATTCTGCTGAGCTTCTCATCTAACTCAATAACTTTGTCTTTCAGTACCAGGATAAAGAGGAAGTTGTTTTATGGATGAATACAGTAGGACCTTACCACAATCGCCAAGAAACATACAAATACTTCTCTCTTCCTTTCTGTGTGGGATCAAAAAAAAGCATCAGCCATTACCATGAAACCCTAGGAGAAGCACTTCAAGGAGTTGAATTGGAATTTAGTGGTCTTGACATCAAATTTAAAGGTAAGTAATGGAAAGTGCATTTAGTCACTTAAACACCACGAACCCTTAAAACTTGATTTTTGAACTAGAAGAACTGAAAGTTCGCTGCTGCTAGCAACTGAGTGTATTTTGTGTTATTGCTTGAAATGCCCTGCAAGGTTGTCTACTAGCACTGGCTTTTCAGTTTACAGTAAATTTTTTATCTGTGTGCCCTTTAAAGAAGATGCTTGCAGCTTCTGAAGTAGCTGATTACATTTTCTGAAGTAAAACTAAGCTTTCTGTGTGTGAATGATTAAAAGTATATTTACTGGAATTCTGGAATTATCAGTTCTGAAGATGTAATTTTTTCCTATGATGTTGAATACTTGCAGACTCTGCCGTGGAAAGGAGTAGCAAGGGCTCAACATCTCAAAGTTCTACCTTAACACAAAGTTAATTATTGTATCCTTCTGGTTACTGTCTAGTTTAAAATACCTTAGGCAAATACCTTTATTTTATTGGCTCTAACTTATCATATGCCAGTCAGGATGGAGCTGGTCTGTTTTTTTCTGTTGTTTCCTGCCCTCTGCCTCTTTCCATACTGTGCCAGAGTTGACATTTAACTTCTTTTGCAAATATATTTCTTGGTGTTAGGGCTGAGCCTTCTATTGTATAATTTCCCTGTGTGTGTTCTTTGGTCCTTTCAGGTATTTGTAACTGGTAGTTGCAGAGCTTCAAATAATAACAGATTCTTTTTGTCTGTATTGAATTTTAACATTTATATATTTAATCCAATTTGGGTTTCTGTGTATATGTATTTTTTTCCCTAGAGGGCTAGACTTCATTGCATCACCAGTGCTTAACTGGATGAAGAACTTAAGCGTAGTATCTCTTGTCTAAGAATTTGCAGTCAGATGTGAGTTACAAAAGTTTTATTCAAAACTGGACATCTGCAAAATAAGAGGCTTGATGATGTTTTGTTGTAAGTACGATAAGTGGAATAAAAGATTAAAAGTTCGTTAAAACTGTAAATCCTTCATAAATTTTAAGTTGCATAGGGGATAACACCTCTGCATTAAAGGAATTTGGAGTTGAATCTTTCCTTTCAAGAAAGGAACAGTACCTGCACAAACAGTGGAAAACAGTCCTGTTACTGGTTTGCAAGACTTGTAGCCTGCTGAAAATTTTATTTAACGTGGGAGAAACAGTTTTCCTGTTGAACCTCGTAGAATATGCTAAAAAGCGCAAAATGGAAAGAACAGAGAAGGCAACTGGCAGCAATTCAACATGACTATGAAAATCAAGTAAAACTTCTATTGTCAGGATATGATAAATATTTATTTTTACAGCCGGTTACACTTGTAATTTTTCCTTCCTTTACTTGCTCCATCTTTACAAAGAGATTGTGTTACTCCAGTGACAAGTGTACTCTCTAGTACTCTAGCAGCACCGAATTGAAAAGACTGCAAGGTTCGTGAGTTAATGTTTACTGTTATGAAGTGTCCTATTCCCAGATTTATTTTCTGAAGATTATCCATAGTTATTTTATTCCCCTATCATATCAAATTTTTGCTAGATCAAGTCTTTCATTTTGTGACTGGGAGTACTGAGCAGATTGTGCTGTTCTGTAGCTCACTTTTCAGCACTTGCATCCTGGACCTGCCCTTTTCCATATTGACCTGGAGGTAGTAATTTAGTAATCTGTTTTTATAGTGGAAGTGTTGAGATGATACCAAGGGAAGGGAATGGACTGGCTCAACATCAGGAACTGGCTGAAATGCTTGAAAAATTTTCTTCTTTAGGGGTCGAAAAAAGCTAGAGCCTCTGTTATACCAGAAGTACATGCAGTAGTCAGGCTTATTTAGATATGTAAAGCATGTTCATCTTCTTATTCCTGAAATAACAGATGAGAGAGTGGTCACAAGAGGAGAAAAAAGATAAACTGAAAGTTTCATCTGTTTAGTCTGTAGTCAGATATAGGTTAGCTTTCTAGACTATTTTCTGTCATTTCTGAGGGGAATATGCAGAAGCAGAGCATTGGACAAATCCATTCTTCTGCGAATGTATTCTCAAATACTTCTGTAAAATACTCCAATAATGGAGAAATTAATGAGTTTCTGTTTTGGTAATTCTTTAATCTAACACTTAGATATTAAGCATCTTTTATCTGTTTTCTTAAACAAAAATAAGTGCAACTTGGGTAATACTGAACCTCCTGCTCCTCAGTACATAAGAACTGATACTATTCCTATTTGGTTAAGAGAAGTCTTCTGGAATTCACAGCTACGGGGAGCCAAAATCATCCTGGACTAACATGAATTCAGAATGGTGGAAAAGTGCTGTGTTTTTTGTGCCTTGTGATTGCTTTGGTTTTGATTATGTCCCTGCCATATTAGTTTATCTGTTGTCTTCTGTAGTTCTTTACAACAGGTAAACCTGTTTTCCTTAAATCTTGTTTTGCTTTCAGGTTAGGAGTTTCAGATTCTGATTCACAATTGCTTGTGCTGATGTTTTGACACAGAAAGCTTTAGATTTTCTCCATTATAAGTATTACTTATTGTGAAAAATTGAGTGCAATTTCTTCAAGGTTTAAGGTCTGGTCTTCCACTCGTGCTGTTTTTTTCAGGTGCCTTTTTGCATCTCTAACTGCTTTACCGGTGCATACCAGGTGTATAGTTGCTATACTCAGGTATATTCTTCCAGACAGACTGGGCATGATGTTGTTTAAAAAAGGCTTTGAATGGGTACGGAAGAGTAGAGATTTCAAAAAGAATCAGGTGTTTTTGTCTTCTAAGTATAGGTGATTGATGTGCTGGTACATTTCCCAGCAGGTGGGGAATTCCTCTTCATCCATGTCCTTTGTTTCTTTTTAAAAATTTATTTATTATTATTAACACATTGGCACTCCGGGATGATCGATAATCTGTATTGGACCTGCAGTGAATTTCACTCCTAACCAAAGTGGCTGCAGGTCAGATGTTTTCTATAAAGCAGATGGTAGGTGGTAGCTGGTTGATGACTAAGTATGTGTACACGATCTGGGAAGCTGTCCATGTGCGCGTCTAGTTTTTTCCCTTACAATCTGTGTCCTCTGGATAAAAGATGTAGACAATAATCTCTTTGCTGTTAGCTGGCATCCAGCAGGTTCTGTATCAGGAGGTGCTTTAGTATTTCTAGCAGTGCATCTATGAAGTGAAATCTGAGTGGGAGTCAACTCTGTTTTACTAACTTTAATCTGCTATTAAAAGTATTAAAATATATTTTTTTCTGAATTTCAGAGTAACAAGTATAAACTAATTGTAGCAGTAGTTAATAGTATTTATTTAATGTAAAATTATGTAAAATTTGTTGAAATCACATCCCCTTGGTATACAGGTTTTTAAAGTAAAAAACCAGAGCAAAGGATTGCTATCTGAGATTCATTTTTTTACAGGCTTAAAAGCTGTCATAAAACCAGTACAATTTATATCCAATGCATGTAGGAAAACTTAAATTTCACAGAGCAGGCCTTAAAGTTCAGCATTTGTATAAAGAATTCTTTTCCAATTTGGTTGTTGAAATGTGGTGGTAGCTCAGTTTTTTGGTGACTCTTCAATGGTAGATCTTGTTTTTGGCTGAAGTGGTGTTCGCTTTTTTTTTTAATAATTGTAACTGGATTCTATCAGTGAAATTGAATTATATTTTTTTTTTGTAATGGATAAGTTTTACCTTGCTGTGACTGATCCATGCTCCCACCTCTGCATCAGTGGTCCAGAAGTTGCTGCAATGAAATTGAAACAGAGTTGTTGGTGATTTGTGTGGGTTTTGGGTTTGTTTGTTTGTTTTTTTTTCCTTAACAAATAGAAGCTTATGTTTTGGCACCAATAGATTCATATGTTCTTGAGAAAAAGATGCAGCTTCAAGGAGTGTTGAGTATCTAACATCTATGGCTGAAATAATTAAAAGCTACTCGAATACCTTTCATTAATCATTTAGATGCTTGAATATGCATTTAAATACCTAACCATAGGGATCTGCTTTTCAAAATATTAGCATGACCATCTGAAAACTTGTACAGATTTTCTTCATGAGTCAGATCTAAGTTCTGAGTTAACAGGTAATCATGTTTTTCCTCATGTGTATTTGGGATTATGGCAAGACTAACAATTACAGGTATTTTTCCTCTTTAAATGAGTGTCGTAAGACTTTACAAAATTAAATTAGATTTGGATTTCATACTTTTAGATTTTTATGCTCTGGAGTGAGTAAAGGGGAATTAAAATTGTTCTAATAAATTAGCTTCTGCAATAAAGAACAGTTCCCTTCTCAACATAGCTTGACTGGACAGCAGTAGCACGTAAGTGTGAAACTGTATGTTGTTCATCATATTCGAAGAATTACTTAGGCTGCAGCTGTCAGTAACTGAAGTACTGTAGACTGCCTAAGTAAAACTGTCAGTTGAATCAGTGCACCTTGCCTACATTTTTGATGGCTCTGCAGAAATGTATTCTGCCGAGAATGGGGGTTTGCACTTGAATGCTCGTAGTGGTGACTGGTGGGGCAAATCTACAGTGTATTCAAGAATCCATAAAGTAGTGTTTCTTTTTGTATTTAAAAGTGTGTCATGTGAAAGGATACCTGTGACCATGCAGGCTAGCTGGATTTCCTTTCTGTTACAAATATGAACAATGTTGTTCTTGTATCACAGGTCTCAAATCCATGTTAGTATCTTGGTGAAGAAAGTAATGAATTATTAACATATATTGTAATATAAGTTTTCAGTTGGCTTAATTCTCTTGTCAAGCTAAATCTAGAGTAATAATGCTCTTTATGTAATATGTCAAGTACTTTATTCAAGCATTTGAATTGACATCCTCTACATTACACCTGAGACCTAGTGAATTATTAAATGTATTGAACGTTGGGATCATAGTGACTTCAATTAGAAAATGAATTTTTGACACTGCCATACAATACCAATTAGAAAAGAGGAATTTAAAGGGGAAGAGGGTTTTTTAACATACTTGATTTTTGCGCTTACTTAGAAATGTTACTAAATAACCATACTTGTAAGTGAGAACTCCTTCCCCAGCACTTCCTTCTGCAACACCTCTAGAAAATGACAGCTGTCCAGGATGATGTTCAGTATTGTACTAGGAGATGGTCAGATATAATGAGGCTTTATATGGTTTATATGTTTGAATAAAACCCGGTTGATCTGACTGTTCATAGGAAATTTGAAATCTGGCATAAGCGCACCTGCTTTTATAATGAGTCTTGCTTTAATGGTCTTTTAAAATTTGCTTAATGTGCTACTGATGTTACTGAAGCTGTATTATATAGCAGATGTTACCTCTTTGACATCGCCTGATATAGACACAACACAAAACATACCTCTGACTTTACAGTCCTCACACAACCACAACTTGGATAAGAACTATCTAACATACAAAACTGTAGATCTGGTAAAGCTGTAGCAAAGTAGACTTCAGCTTCCCAAGTCACTGACTGCTGTTCTAAGCTACTTTCATTTAATCATTTAGCACAGTGCATTTAAGCTTAACCATCTAATCCTGCCTTGTAACCAAATGACAGCTTCAGCATTTGCAGTGGGTGGAGAAAGGAACACTTGTCTTCATTCCTCTTGCCTTCATTCAGTTGTTTTAGGGGGAGGTGAGAGGAACTGTGCTGTGTAGTATGGCTGAGGGTGAAATCATATACAATACGTAAAGTCACGCCTATATTTTGCAAGAGTTGAATGAGGTTGTTTCTAATGATTCTGCTGTGGTTTTGTGTATCTGCGCTGGAGTAACTTGTAATGTAGTTGGTCCGCAGTTGATTGTAATATCTCTGTGATGTCTTTTGGTATTCTGAATATCGGGAGTAAAATCCATAAAAATGGATGAAGAGTTTTTTGGTGGCATGCTGCTATCTGCAGCCTGGTCAGATGTCAGTGCAGTCATTTCACTTCAAATGATATTTCAAAGTCTCTCTCTCTTTTTCTCTCAGCAGCAAAAGCCACTGTTTACATCTTAGCATATTAGATGCAGAATGGCTTATCTCAGAAAAAAAAGTGGCAAATTCACAGGAGCCTGAAAGCTCATGGAGTGACTCTGTATTAGATTACAATCTAATACCAAATTTGTCTTGGTTAATAACTGCAAACAAAGGCTTCTGTATTCGGGCTATAAAATGGGAAAGGTCTCTAAAAAGAGCACTTGCAATTCATGCGATTTTTATTTCAGTAGTAGCACTTGCTCCTATCCCTGTGTTGTCCTTCAGTTGTGCTAGTATCATGTAAAACCAGCTTGGCCCCCATAGCACTTCCCCAGATCAGGCTTCCATGCTCCAGCACTAGGTAATGCTTCATTTAACAGCCTCTACCAGTTTCTCTCTTACCCTTATTTTAATTCACAGTATATTTTCATTTCACCTCTGTGTGTTGGAACAATCCTTTGTGAGTTAAAAAATTTAACATTAGAAAGGTGTTATCCTTTATTTGAGTATAGTATGAAACTGCTAGAGAGTGACAATAAAGCGCCAAGTATTTTGGAAAGAATTAATCCCTACTTAGCAACAAATCCAGAAGATAGGGATTCTGGTTTTTTGTCTTGTAATTAATGTCAAGATGGCTCAAAAAAAACTCTTAAAGTGAAAAAGTGCCAAGCAGAGACATTTTTGGGGGGAACATAGCCCCAAAAGCATAGCAACCAGCTCAGTAGAGGCATAAATGCAAACCGAGACCTGGATTTGTAAGTCTGTGTTTCAGCTATGGTGCCAACTTTAATGGCTTTCATCTCTTCAGTATACCAGTATGGGTCCTGAAAATGTAATCCATGGTCTAAAAGTCTTCTTGGGACATTTGTTGACTTGAGTGGTTTTGTTATTCTCTTCCCCCTGCCCCCCCCAGCAGAAGTTTTACTGCCTAGTAAGTCAGTATGAGAAATGGTATTTTTTTTTTTTCAGTGAAAAGATGAACTTAGAGTACATTTGTTAGGTCTTGGAAGAAACAAAAATAGAAAATACTGAAGTTTTCATAAGAAGTAGGAGAAAGAGACGCATCCATTCCAGAATAGCCAGGGGCACTATTTTCTCCAGGGCTATAGGAAATCACTGCAGCTATGCAGGACTGCTGTTGGCTGGTTTCTTACTGTCTTGCTTCACCAGGCTTTGCATCAGTTTTGCTTGACTAGACGAACTGTGCATATTTTCATTTTGTTAAATTGTCGTTCTCACAGAAATAATGTTTTGTGTTGGAAATACCCTACTTGTCAGTGTTTTTTCTATGTGGGTGATTTGATTTTCTTCTTAAGCTTTATATTGCAGTTAGTGTATAGCAGAAAGTAAGCTGAATGTTTATATAGATTACAGCTGTACTTGGGGCACAAATTAATTTTATCTACTAGAAAGGAGTCCTCGATTCTAGTGATGACAAAAAGAGGAGAAAGGGGGAGCTGGAATTATTTATGTTTGTTTGACTGTTTGCAGAGTGAAAACATTTATGAAGTGGATGGGGGGGTTGTCTCTAAATCTGTTGCTGCCTGAATTCTTGTAAATATAAGCCCTTTTGTCTTTTTTCACTTGAAAAGGAAACATGAGGGAAGGAAATTGGGATGTGAAAGAATGGCTGCTAACTGCATTACTTATGAATTGTAGGTGGGGAAAAATAGCTTTTGGGCTCGAAGAGGTGAATTTATTTTATTTCCAAATGTAGCCTCCTGTGTAGTCTTTGTGTTTATTCCTATTTTTGTCTTCTCTCCTTTTTGTCTGCCTTACCCTGGTTGCTTTGTTTCTTCTTTTATGGTAGTTTCTTGAAAATTGCTGAGAACTTTAAGAAGTTTTGGGTTTTACAAACAGAATTCCTAGTCAGTGAGCCTGATGATACTAAAATGGAGAGATAATACCATACAAAGTTGTAGGTATTTGTTAACAATTCCATACCTCTCGTTAAAGAGGTCTCATGGTCTGTCCAAGTAAAGCTGCCATCAGCTAATGGATCTTAATTTAGTGTGGGAGGAGTAGCAAAAGGATACTTTGAAACCTTTCCTATTCAGTCTGTGGGAAGCTTCTGCATGTGGAAGGGTAGAATTACAAAAACAATCATGTAATTGCTTTAATGGTTCCTTTTTAAATGTCCTTTTTTGTTACCTACTTGAGGATAGCTGAGAGGGGTTAAAGACTCCAGCAATGTCTGTTCCTCTGTTTGCTTGGTTTGCCTTTGCTTTGAGCCAGCTCATTAATGAATCATTAACTGTGCTTTAATTTTTTGCAGACGATGTAATGCAGACTACTTACTGTGAAATTGACTTGGACAAAGGAAGAAGAGATGCATTTGTGTATGCTATCAAAAATCACTATTGGTACCAGATGTATATTGATGACTTGCCAATATGGGGTGAGTGATATTATGCATAAACAACTTGATTACAGCTACAGGAGTCCTACGCTAGTGGGTTTCATAGAGTCATTTAATGACTAAGCTTCATTACAAGAATCTCATAAGTATATAGAACTTATGTAACCAAATTATACAAATAAATTGAAGGATTATTGCATTGAAAAAACAGTAGGATGGCTTGTACTAGTGAATTACAAATGCAGTGAAAAGCTGTTTTTTTTCTCAAGCACTGATTTAATAATACCAAGTTCTTAGGGTTAAATTCTTTTAAATGTTCAAGTGAGTGGTAAATAGATAGGTCAGATATAAAGTCCATGTTAATGTGTTCATGAATAACAACTTTCATAAACCTCTTTCAATATTTAAACTTTATTTTGCTAGTTCTTGTGTTTGTTACTAACACAAGAGCTGTTTGGTTTACTTCTATGGTAATTTAGTGGCTTTCAGCAGTTTTGCATGTGCAGTCTGTGGTTATATGAAGGAGTTTCATCTTGTTCTTACACAGTTCTTAAAATTGCTCTTGCTGAGTATTAATCTGGGCTTAGAAGTGCTTGTGTCTTGAATAAAAATTTACGTGTCTTTATTGCCATTGTCTCCTAAGCTCTCTGTTTTTTGTTACTCCCTTGTAACCTGTGATCACATACCTGGTAAAGAGTGCTCTGCAGATTGTACTTTGCACTGATAGCAGTCAACAAAACCCCCCAAGCCCTAATCTCCCTGTTGTAGATATAAACTGAAGGGAAATGAAAAGCATCACAAAATGCTTTGTTAAGGTAAGGTCTTTGTTGCCTGTGTTCTGTGAAAGAGGTAAAACCACCGAAAATAAACAAAATCCCACAACACCTACAAAAATACAGTTCAAGCCACATGACAAAAGTCCTTTGATGGGTAGTATGCTGCATAATGCTACCCGTCATTCTTTCGTTCATTCTGACAGAGGGTGGGGGGTTTAGCTCTTTTTTATAATTTTAATTGGTTTTAGAAAGTAGCTATCTGATGAACATGAGCCCCAGCCAGAATTGCTAGTGCTTTATTTATTTATTTATTATTTATCTGTTACTTGGGAAGGTTCTTGCTTTTTTTTAAATGTATCTCTTTTTAAGAGATGACATTATAATGCCTGACAGGAGAAGTACTCATATATTGTATTTGTTCTTTTCAGCTGATTTGCTTAGTGTGTGTAACAGCTCTGTGGCAGGGCTTGGAGTAGACCCTAATTAACCTGTGTGGCCTTTACTACTTGCACAATTGCTTAGTAGGCTTTTAAAAAGCATGCGTGAGTGACAGTTGTTGCTATAATATTTTTTTATGCTTTCAGCCTTTCAGCAAAAGATCAATGACGATTTTCCTAGACTAGTGGCAGCTACATAGGCTTTAGACTGCCCAAGGATGATGGATGCTAAGCTGACTTCTTTGGAATCCTGTGTGGCTAGCGAGTCTTGGAGACATTCTTTCTTAGGACTGTTTTTTCTGATGTTATTTGGGAACATTTTTTTCTCACATCAAATACCAAAGAACAAATATACTTACTAAATCTTCTACACACTGACTAAATTTTATGCTCTCAGCTGAAAAATCTGTTTTACTGTGGTTCCGGTGTTTTAATGTTCTTCAGTAGTATGCTTTGTATCCACGAGAAGTCATTCCTAATGCTACAGCTAACAAACATGTAGAATCTAGGTATCATCTTTGTATGATACTAAGAAGCTGGCTTTGATAGTTTTTTGGAACCAGGACCTCAAGTTGTGATATTTAATAGATGACTGCAGCATCATAAGTACTGGTGGTAATATGCAAGGATATAATCTGACATCAGGTGTGAAAGCAAATGGTGCTGACAATTTTGGTCTATGTCTCCTGAGGGCTAGGTAAAACTAGCAGGACTGCATATTGGTCAGTCAATATTAGCCTGGGTTTTATTCCAAAAAATTAATCAGTTCTTGATGGGGGGGGGCTGAGAAAGGAAAGGATGCACCTGAACTGATCAGAAGTGTTTATCCTCAAGTCTGAACAAGTCTTTCTGACCTTTGTGTCCCAAGCACACTTTAGAAAACTGTGAATATAGCTTATCTGCATTAATTGTGGTTTTGCTGGGTCTCTGTTCAACAATAGGAATATTTCAGGCTCTGAGCCCTCGGAGACTTGCTGCTCACTGAACAGTTATAAATATTTGTTATGAATATGGCATGAGTGATACAATACACATGGCTCCTCCAGCTTGTTGGTGTCTTGGACTGTATTGTATAGACTTGCCTAGTACTATGTGATGTGGTGGTAGAGATACTAAGGAAAGCTAATATCTTATGCTTGATTGAGTGTCATCACATAGCTGTTAATTTCAGGAACTAATGAAAAACATTAGGACTGCAAAAAATATAGTAAGAACTTTAGTAATTATGATGGCATTTCTGAAATACTCTGAATACTGAGTTTTTTTTTTTTAAATTAAAATAGTATCCAGAACTGGTTACCTTCAGCTTGCATTAAAAATATCTTGTGCTGAAATGGCTTTTTTGTTGCTGTGTGAAGGCTATCATGTTGATCCACTTTATTTGGATTACTTTCCTGAGAACCGTGCTAGCCAGCCTGTATTGTATGTACTGTATCACCCAATCCACTATTTTTTTCATTGTTGGTTTGTGTCTCATAGCCCGATTAAACCAAAATTTTGTTCCCTAAATGTAAATGGCTAGAGTCCTTTTTTTGTGCTACCAAAAGAAAGTAAGTATTCTCTGAAGAGTTTAAAAGAAAAGGATTCAGATGGTGTTAATGTTTGCTGGAGAATTCTAGGCAAATTCTGTTTAATTCTGTTCCTAAATCTGTTCCACTCACTTCTCTTGGCTTATCCAGGTGGATTTTGTGGCACTCCTCCTGTCTCCTGGCAAACTGTAGTTAAGTTCATGTTTTATGTTCTTCATGGCTTTCCACCTTGGTAAGGCTTACTGATGTCAAAGTCATATGCACAACCATTAATATTTGAAATTCTCCTTAGGAAGTCCTCAAAATATCCAGTAAGGAGTACTCTATTTTCAGTAAAGACTAGGCATAAAGTAACTTTTCTTAACTGCTGATAACTAAAGGTAAGGACTTCCAACTGCTGTTTGAGGGCTTTGGAAGGTTTACACTTTATTTTCTGACCTGAAAAAGGCAACCAGATCTTTTTCAGTGCATTCAGATAAAATTATTCCATTTTCTGTTTTTTCCTGAATTGCTATCCCACAGTGGAGTGGCTAGGCTTGAATGTCTTTGTTTCAGGACATCTCCCTAAGTATATGGAGCACTGTGTTAGTTCATTCCTTCAAGTAGTGATTGATCAGAATGTCCTTTAAGTAGTTTAGAGGTCTGTGTTGTCATGGTTTTGGATACCACCGTGGGAACAAATGGTATGCCAGGTGCTAGGCTGTATGGCATGGGCACAAACTGGCACGTGTTTCATGTGGATGGCATATACAAGGCAATCCTGACAGATGAGCATGAGTAAAAAACATGACAGAAAAATACCACCTTGAAAATTAAAAAGCACAGGTAATGCACAAGTGCCATTCTTTCATATACCTGCTGCTTTGCAATAACCTGTTCCATATCCTTCACCTACTTGTTCTTCCACTCCCCTCCACCTTTGTATATCTTGAGTGCTGCTTTTATTGTGGTTTTCCATCTTGTACGTGATCTTTGGTGTGATGGTCTTGACATTAAAGATGATGCTTTTGTAGCCTGTTAACTTGGTGACTGCTAGGCTTGACTTCCCCCCACACACGCTCCCCCCAGCATAGTACATTCTCTGGAATTTTTCTATAGTAGATTAGACATTTTGCAGTAATTTACTGAAAATTAAGAACTTAATTATAGCTAATACTGAGTTCAGTTGAGTTCTGATGCTCCAGGAGCATCTGAGCAGCTTTCCATGTTGGCGGTAATAAAAATCTTCAAGCAAATGATAACTTCCTGAATTTTTCAGTGAAAGTAACAGAGAGCAGTCAAAAACTGTCATTCTCGGCAAGCATTAGAAGCCTGTGTGCAAATGAGAGCAAGAAGTATGTGTTGGGGAGTCAATTAATGAGGAATACAGAATGGAAGTAAAATTTTTAAGAAGAAGAAAAATGAGTGAAGGGATAGACGGGAGATGGGAAAATACAGAGGTCTTGGCTAAGTTCTATTCATGGAAATTAAATCTGTATTCAGCTAGTTGTTTATCTGGTAAGAATTCAAAATAAAACTAGAGGAGCTGTTGTTGTGCCTTCTGTTTCTTCTGCAGTGTTTGTAGCTGCATGCTTTTTTCTTTTAATGCCATTACAAAATGCTTCTTGCATATACTTGTGGATTGAAGGTGTAATCGAGGTATTAGAGTTGAAAAGAGGAGCATAAGGTCTGCTGTGTTCTCTTTACTGTAGTTATGTTGCTTTTTTTAGCTGGCAGAACTTTTGTAATGCATATTTTAAAAAAAATAATTACAGAATATTTGAAAAGCATACCTGTAATGGATGCTTACACTTGTTTCCTATGCAGGTATTGTTGGAGAAGCAGATGAAAATGGAGAAGATTATTACCTTTGGACTTACAAAAAACTTGAAATTGGTTACAATGGAAATAGAATTGTAGATGTCAATCTGACCAGTGAAGGAAAGGTGAAATTGGTACCAAACACAAAAATCCAGATGTCATATTCAGTAAGTAATTTGGTGCTGCATCTGTAATAAGAAATTCTACATGATGAAATGGCTCAAAAATAAGTATTTGTATACCTACAACTATGTATTGATACATCAGGCTGTATTAGAGGAAGATGCATCTTCACTCTTTCAATTTGTTTTTTTTTTCTATTGCTCAAAAACCTTGATAGGTTTATTAAGAATAAGTGTAAAATGAGGGATTTTGAAACACGTCAAACAAACTGAAGCTTCTATAATCTGCAGAAAAGTGTTTTGGAGGGAAAGGAAGATGTCCCAAAAGGTATGGAGAGTAGAAGTATAGAGGACCCCCCAGTAGGTACACATTTTCTTGATGTTTGGAGCGCTGACATTTGCATCATAGATTTGAACTGGATTCTGAGCTAGGACCAACTGTAAGCCTTCATACTTTGCAAGCAGTTAGTATCAAAGCTTATTTTGGTTTTGCAATTCCAGTAGAAATTTGCATATTGATATAACCTTATTAGTAAGGTTTTCTCTGAAGCCCTCTGCTATTATGTTGAATTGCTATGATGAAAGGTAATGAATAAACAATGTTTGCTGATCTGAGATAAATTAAATTTTTCAGTTTTCCTCCTTATTTATTTGATGTTACTTAAATCTGCAATGGTTCGCTTCTCACGTTCACCACATTTGTATACTGAAACTAGTTCTTAATGCATTGCTTTTCTACAATGTGTTAGCAGTAGGTGTCAGCATAAGATTTTATTTTGGAGGATATTCTTGCCACTATTACATTTGTCTTATGCTGAATAAGTTGTAGAGTTTGAAGTGCAGATAACTGGTTTCTATGTATGCTCTCTAGAATTACGTTTGCACTAATCTCCCTGTTTCTACTGCAAAATGATAGTAGAAGTTTTGAAATTTTCTATTTCAAATTCCACTAGCATTGTGAAGTCCATTTGCTCTGTAAATTTTGAGGTGGACAGCACTGAGTATCTGCTGGTAATGAAAATAACATTAGATGTTCCCTTAAAATGCTTTTAGTGTACAGAGCTCAAGACTTACCTAGCTAATTCTGTTGGCACCACTGGGCATTTGCTAGGCTGGCGCGTGCGTGGTGTTTAATTCACAGATTTGTCTGGTGGATTTGTTCTAAGCAGTGCTTCTTAATTGCAGATGCTCTAATGAGAAATGTATCTGCTTAAAACAATGTTGAAAGCTATTAATGTTTTGAGTTACTAATCTTGAACAAGGTTGTAATTTGAACTGAAGTACATTAATATCATACCTGAAAGTGAGTAATACTTGAGTCATGGGGTTTTTAATCTGTCTCAGGACTGTGGTGAGTGATAGGGGTATTCAATCTACATTTATATGCTTTTTTCTGTACTGAATACAAGAACATCTGTTGGAAAGGATAATTCTTTGTCAGGTATTTTAAAAAGATATGCACAAGGGGGCTGCATTTGTTTCAAGATCACTAAAAATCTTGGTATTTCCTAATCTTGGCATGCTTCTGAAAAAAATTTAGTGTCAATTTGTGTTTAATTTCTGAAATTGCATTTAAGAATTAAAATGAAAACAGTCTTGCAAAAATTCTGGAAAATACTTTATGCTACCATATTAGCACCGTGTAGTTCATAAGTATGATTGAATCTTCCAAATCCAAAGCAGTCCTCTGTGCAGCTAGTGGAATAACTGATAGCAGTAATGTGCTGTTACCCTGTGAACAGGCCATAAATGCATACTTTTCCAGCTGGATTCAGAGTTACTTAATGGCAGTTGAAGTGTCTAGATTGCAGAATCCTGCGGTCTTACAGATTTTAGGCTGCAGCTTTTAGCTTGTAGCTTTTAAAATTTTAATGTCTGCCTTTTAGGGTCCAGCTTGATCCCTTTTATATCCACTTCCCTTCCAGCCAGCTTGTATCTCAGTTTATGGCCTTTTCTTTCCTATTGGCATCTGTTTTAAATTTGCTCTTATATCTTCTCATTTCCCTGACTTCTGTTAGGCTGCATCTTTTTCTTGGGCACTGTACTCAGACAATTTAGGTACAGATGATTTCACTGATTACCAGTCTCAGTGCGTGGCAGGGAAACAGATCTCAGCTGCTGTTGGGGGAGCAGAAGTAGAGGGTGTTGTCATCGCTCAATGAACACTGGTAATGTTCTCCACAAGCCTCTTTTCATACAATGCAGCACATGGAAATGTTAAGAAAAGGGAGTGTGCTGTCAGAAGAAAAACCACAAAACCTTTGGAAAAATTCTACTGCTTTCTAACACATCATTCTTGAACATATTTAAACATGCTTTCTTTCTCTAACCTTTGTTCTGAAATCTTGGGCGAATCTGGGAGGATTTTTCAAAGGTATTGCCTCATCGTTTTACAGGTATCTACCGTGGGGAAAAAAACATCATCTTAGAACTATTTGTTTAACAAAACTGAAAAATAGGATCCCTTGATGGATTTTGGTTTTGACATCTTCAGTATGAGTATCTTTGAGCTCCTTCTATAATCATGAAAAGGGTTTGTTGTATTTGACAACTAGAAGTTTACATCTTAGCCTTGCAGAGGCTGAGAGGTTCTTAAACATAAGCATAGACAGGATTAGATCCATGGAGCATGGTGGCTGGTGTTCGTTCTGTGTCTGACCTGTAGTTGTTAGTCTTTAAGAATATCAGTCCATTGTTTTTGCAAAAACCTAGATTCATATTGAAGAAAAAAATCTGAAGTGGATGATTCTTAAAATGTGTTTTGGGTTTCTGCATGTGAGTATAGCTAAACGTATTATTAATGAGCTTTTCAAGTGTAAATTTTTCACTGTTTAGGTGAAATGGAAGAAGTCAGATGTGAAGTTTGAAGACCGATTTGACAAGTATCTTGACCCATCTTTCTTTCAGCACAGAGTATGTATTATTCTAAGATAATCTAACAAAATATCCCTTTGAAATGGTTGCTTTTGTTCAGAAGGTGTCATGGAATTTTTGAATGACATCTTTGAATTTTTGGATGTCCCAGGTGTTCTGGGACAATGAAACAGGCAGGTCTAGGACTGTAGGTTTTAAGTGATAGTTCTGTTGCTTGAACGGGATGGCTCCAGTTTTTTAGAGTGCTTCATTAAATGTGCAGGCAAGCTTCAAGCCTGCAACAAATACCAGGCAGTTCGAGAAAACATATTCACATGTTCGGAAGCAATGAAGTTTCAGGGACACAATTGTGTGACTTGTAAGCTGAATAACTGCAATTGGTCATTTGTACACTTTTTACTGGAGTAAACACAAAGCAAAAAGCATCAGCCTAAACCAGTTGGTGGTATCAGCTGTGATGGTTTAAACCTGTGGTTGTAATCTCCTTGTGGGTAGTATACTGAGCTATACTACTTTCCGAAATGAGAGGTTTTGAATTCTGTTTGGAGCTCAGTGTAAACCAGAAGATGTACTTGTCAGAGGCAAAATAATGCTGCTGCGCATTTTGGTCCTGTGCAAAGCAATGGTTCCTTTGGCTTTTTGGCTTTGAGCATCTCTTTTATTACTTAAACCTCTTCTCTAGGAAGGCAGCAGTACATTGTGTTGCCTTTCCTTTACCAAGGGAGCACATGCAGCCAGTTGTTCGAACTTTGCTGGTGCTTAACTAAACTGGGATAACTTGTCATGAGCAAGCTTGGCTGTTGAAAAGCTTTATGTATGGTGTTTCACAGGCCAGTTTTAGTGGGACTTTCTACAAATGTAGTGTTACTTAGAATATGTGTTTACTGTTACTCAGCTAGTGCTGACAAGCTGTCCTGCTAGGCAATGATTTATCCTTATTGGAACAGATTTGAAACACATTTACAATTCTAAACCTTAGGGCTGTGTTTTCTTTTTGTAGATACACTGGTTTTCAATTTTCAATTCTTTTATGATGGTGATCTTTCTGGTTGGCCTAGTGTCTATGATATTAATGAGAACTTTGCGAAAAGATTATGCAAGATACAGCAAGGAGGAAGAAATGGATGATATGGTAAGATCTGCATTCATGCTTTTTAAAAATCTTTTTTTAAGGCTTATTGTTTTCTCTTCATGCATTCGTTGTGTTGGCAGCTCTGAATGGCTTTCTTTAGTTGGACAGAAAACTCTCTTATGTGTGTCTTGAGAGTGTTACTGGTTTTCTTTATAACATGGTTCTAGGCTGCAACCCAGAATTTTGTCTGTAGTCACTGTGTTAATGTTCATATCCACACTTAGGTGGGATGGGGTCCATTCTGAGTGTGTAATAGAAGCCTGTGTATACTCCTAAACACTTAAGAGGATTTTAGGGACAGGGAGGGCATCTGATTGATTTTACTGCATCATACATTCAGGTAGTAATTTTTGTTGTCTTCATAAGCATCTGAAAAGTAAACTTTTCTCCTAGATTTGATGCATTCAGGAGAGAAGGCATACTTGCACTTGAAGTTGCTTTAATAAATCAAACCTTTAATTTATGCATAGCTTGTGTGCTTGTCATTAATTGTCATAACTAGACTTACATTTTTGTTGTTGTTGTTCCTAGGACAGAGATCTAGGTGATGAGTATGGATGGAAGCAGGTCCATGGAGATGTTTTTAGACCATCCAGTCATCCTCTAATATTTTCATCGCTTATTGGTTCTGGTTGTCAAATTTTTGCTGTGTCTCTTATAGTTATTGTTGTTGCAATGATAGAAGATTTATACACAGAGTAAGTATAATTGTGCCATGCTTTCCACATATAAATGCTTAAGCGAACAAAGTAATTACAAAAATGAATGTGTTAACTGGCCTGGAAAAAAGTGTTTGAGTCTTTAGTCTTTACGTTTAGATCAGATGTAGTATTCAGAAGAGTTCTTTTAAGTTGTAATGAAACTTTGCCCTACTCTTATCATGGGAGTTGGTCTCCTTTAATTTTACTCTTTTAGTGCTTGCTTTTTACATGATTTATTTTGAAACTAGTTTGTCGTTCTGGAGCATCACAGCTAGATTATATGGGACATAACTGTTAAGAGGCAAATATTTCATTCCTGGTTTCATCTGGAGTGACAAGATCTTACTATATTTCTTACCCTGTTTTCCCTGCCGTGTTCTGTAAAGACTGAAGTAGGAGTGTGCTGTGTTGTGAATAGTCCTGTTTACTGCTGACAATGAATTAAGCCGGTCTTATCCACAAGTCTTCTCAGGAATGGAGATTTAATTTCTGAAGTTCTTTCAAACAGATACTGCTCAGCCTGTGTTGCATGTAAAACCTCCAGCAACAGGTGGGCTGTCGTCCTAACCGGAGAGAATTCATTTAAAACAAACAAATAGTACTCAAGTTTAAATATAACATACCACTTTTGGTTTACCTAGTTCTCTTCCTTTACCTTTTACCTGTTTGAGACTTTTGGTGTCCTGGATGGACTTCCATCTGTTTCTGTAGTGATTGTATTTTGGATACGGGAGGGATTTTTTTTTTTTTTTTTTTTTACAAGTGCTTTGTTTTAAGCAGTGACTAAAATTTCAAATCTCTGTTCTATTTTTCTCTTGAATATCACCTGTAACTGTTGGTTTTAACAAGTTGTAATACTTCGAATGTGCCACTAGAGAGAACTCTAGGTTTTGAATTTAGCTGCCTTTTAATGACGTGTTTAAAAAGCCACTCTTTAGTACCAGTATCTTGGCATATTTTCATTTTTCATATAGTGTTATTCCCTGCCTTGTGCCCCATGGTTACATTTCTGGATAGACTTACATACACATTTTTAGTTGTACAGCATGTCAGCCCCTTTAAGGTGGGGAATGAAACCATTTCAGAATGTTTTGCACTGTAGGGAAGCTGTAAGTTAATGGCAATTGTAAAATGTGTCAGAACAGTAATTTTTAAAAATATATGTGCAGTTAGTCTTTTATTGCAATAGGCCTTTATATCACTTTCAAAGTGAATTTAATTCTGGGTACATAATGGAACATTTGACCAAATCTGGTACAGACAATTCTTATGTTTAGGAAAATAGTGATGTGAGTGAAAAAGGCTGTAAACCAGAATTACAAGAATGATTGCTTGTCAGTGTTCTTCAGGTCTGTTAAAACTCTTAGGGATCATGCAGCTGATGCCAGCTAAAAGTCTCTCAGTGAAATTTGGTTGTGTCGGCTATTAATTTATTAATACTGGTTTGCGTTTTGAGAAGCTTTTCCATTAGAATACTTGAAACATACGTGAGTAAGCTTGAGAATAGCAAATTGTGAGATAATTTTAGATTAACATCTGCTAGTCATTTTACATGTAGCCTGGATTTATACGTGTCACTTCAGACTGTGCATGGTCTACTGGGGTTTTGCATGTGTTTCTAAATTGTCCTAAGTTAGGAGAAGTGTTAAAATTGGTTTCTGTCTAACCAGTAGCTTTGTAAAATGGAGCTATTGCTTATTTTTTTAAGAAACAAATGTTAGCATAATGCTTCTTTAGGGTGTGTGACCAGCAGGTATATTTGCTTAGTTCAATCCATGCAGTCATGGAAGCTGGTTGTACTAAAGATTACTTCTTTGAGTAGGGCAGGCATCCAGTAATGGTTCATCAAAAGCCAAAATGCCAATAGTGTGGAATCTCTCAGAACAACTAATTTGAAGAAAGTATAACAAGCTGGCTGAAAACCTTCTACTTCTTTTTGCTATCATAGAGTAGCAGAGGGACATGGGGAAACAGCTCTCTTCATGAATAACATTTATATCTTGCTATTCTTAGACATGATTTTTAAAAATGTATTTGGAGATGGCTTTTGTGATTTAAAATTATTAGCTTTGCCTGTAAAATTTCAGAAAAATTATGCCAAAATGAGTACTCCAACATTTAATGAGGTGATAATTTAAAAATGACTAAAGTCTTCTGATTGGACTACTCCATGCTGATTTGTGGCTTCATTATAGTATTTATAGTTTCTAAATCAGGTTTTCTAATTTTCTGCAAGATGAATACTTTCGATCTTAAAAATTAATTTCTGAGGGATGGTAGAAACATCATTCACAATCTTAGTATATTTTTGTTAATACTGGCCTTCATATTAAGAGGAACTTTTATCTGCAATACTCAAATCTTACACTTAATGTATGTCATGCGTATGAAGAACTGAACTATTTACAAAGTACCCACATCCAAATGTCAGAGTATTTCAATCAGAGTTGAGATTTTATACTCCAGTGAAAATAAATGCATGTTAGGAAAGAACGTACTATGTCAGAACCCTTTTTCCCAGATTGAATTAGACTTGGCCAGAAGCTTTGGATACAAACAGTTCTCATTCTTAGGCAGATTTTACAATTAAAGCACTTTTAAATTTTTACATTACCTAAAGATATTAAATAACTGCTTCTGCTAAATGTATGTATGTTACTGTGATCTTCTTCTTTAATACTGTTTGTTTCTCTATTTCATTTACCAAAAAAATCACCTTGTAGGAGAGGATCAATGCTTAGTACAGCTATATTTGTTTACGCTGCAACATCACCAGTGAATGGATATTTTGGAGGAAGCCTTTATGCTAGACAAGGAGGTAAATTGTTTTCATGGTTCAGCATTTTCATTACATTGTTAAATGGAGAAGTTATTATTTTCTGATTTGCACGCATATAGAAGTGTCCTTATGGAGTTAGGTCATTCAGGTGGAATCCATTAAATTCTTAATAAACAGAAAATATTTTGAGTATAATTAACTTTCATATTATTTACTATTTGGTATTGGCTGCATTTTCTAATTAAAGATAGCTGAAGTCTTTGGTTAATTTAAAAGTACTAAGAGCTAAAGAACTGTTAACAATTGTATCTTATGAATTGGTTGTTATACTCTTCGTTATAATTGTTTGGCTCATGACATCCAGAGAATATAATAGTCTCTCCCTCTTCAGTAACATGCTGTTAAACAGCTCATGTCATCTTCTCCAGACGTCTCCTACATAACCCTTCTCTATAGGTACTGTGGGGGTTATGTTTACTAACACAGAAAGGATGAGTATACAGTACTTAGTAGACCATTAATTGTGGATGCGGAAAACTGTTTATAGCATCTTTTAAAGAAGGTTTTTCTGCTTTCCATCATGTGCTCTGCTTTATACTTAGCAAATTCAAAATGAATATCAATAGGGAGCAGAAGCCCAATAAAATTGACATAACAGATTTGGACAGGCTGTCTTCAAGTGCGCCCCACTATGCCTCTGAGTTGTGACCAATTACATCCTTGCAGTCCACTAGCTTAATCCATTCCCTATGCTGCAATAAAAGAGTAATCAATATCTATTATCTTCTACAGTGCTTTAGAAAAAAATATTTCTGGTAAGTTCACAAAAGAAAATTTCTATCTTTTTAGCACGGCATACTTGTTAGTGTTCAGTCTCAACTGCACTCTGATCTGAGTTTGGAGGTTAGATGTTTCTTTTCATGTGGCATGTGTATAAACCTAGTGATTTGTAGAGAAACAGATCTGGGTAAATTAGGGTTGCTGTTGTAAAATGTACCGTGCTGTATAGTTGAGCCAGATTCGCTTTTTTTTTTCTCTACAGATCAAATATGTATCAAACCTTGAAATGCTGATTATGTTGGCTTATGGTGAAAATACATATGATGGTCTTGAAAAGCATATGCTAGTTTTCTGACTGTTTTTTATTTAGTGCATATTATAGATGCATCTATGGTGTATTAAATTTAAATATAGACACTACTTAAGACCATGGAAAATGAAGGGAATACAGACAGTGAAAATTCTTAAGGTATTGCCCAAGAGGGTTTTTTGAGCTCTTGTATTGATGTAGTATGTTGTTACTTATTTCTTTCACCTTTTGGGGGGGAAAAGTCATCAAACATCTAAATTCTGGTGAGCTTGCTGGTAACTTTTTTAAAAAAATACACTATCTCACCAGTCCCGTTGGAATGTCCTTTCTTACAGGAAGGCGATGGATAAAGCAGATGTTCATCGGAGCCTTCCTTATTCCAGCAATGGTGTGTGGAACTGCCTTCTTCATTAACTTCATTGCCATCTATTATCATGCTTCAAGAGCTATACCCTTTGGAACCATGGTGAGTCATTTTACTGGAGAATTTGAACACCACTGCAGACATCAAGAAAACTGTTTTAGTCTAAATACAATTGTGAGTTGTAGCTTTAGCTTTCTAGTTAGAAATTTATTCTGGGAGGGGTATAAGGTGCTTCAAGTATAATTCATTTTGATCACAACAGCAACAGCTGCTGGATGCCCACAACAGTCTTCTCTCTGCTTAAAATGACACCTCTGCTTTGTATTCAAGCTGAGTGTTGTAACAACATAGGAAGTTAGCAACTTGAATTTTCTTCTGGATGGCCAATGCAAACTGGTTATAAGCTAAAATGCAATACAAAAGGATTCCAAGTGAAAGCTACTTCCAAATCATTGCAGTCAAGCAGAAAAAAAAAATAATCAGGCAACAATACAAGATGAGACATCCTGAGGACATCTGGCTTTACGAAAATGAATCACTGTTTTCACTTTGTGAAGGGGTATTTAGTATCCAGTTGTGGTCTTGTGTCTGTGTATTAACCCTGTCACTTGAAAAACAATGCTGGTTGGATTACTTTCTCAATTAATTGTGATGACTTTTCTTGTTTCTTGTGGCTTTTGTCAGGATTTTGTTTGTTGTCATGGTCCTTTCAAGCAACCTCAAATAACCCTGTGAATACAATATAGGAAATAATCACCTGGCACTTTGGCAGAATTTCTGTTTGAGCTTGCAAGGGGTATGATTTTGAGAGCAGATTTTTTTGAAATATGCACCATAAAATTGCTTTTTCTAATTTTGTACAGTAGCACAATTAACTTTAAAAAATGCCTTAATACAGGAAGGCTTGTTTTCAATATCTGTAGCAAATCTTGGGATTTAACATTTTTATAGCTTCCTTCTTTGCATATCAGGTTTTGTGATACGTTAAATTGTTCAGTCTATTCAGAGATGTTTGAGTAGCCTTGGATTTCTTCTTAGTTTAAATCTACCACAAAATGAAGCTTATTATCACAAGTTCTGTCTTATATATTGTATTACTTGGGATATAATAAAATTCAGTATGTGACTGAAAATACTTCTTAAGAACACATTGTTAATGAATGAATGTGATAGAAATCATAAATGGTGATAAAAAGAGGAACAATTCTCAGTTTCAGGCAAAGACTTTCAATAATTTTTTACTGATGGAGGAGTCATTACTTTACATGTACATTGCTGGTTCTAGTCACCTCCTTATTAGCAGTATTTTCAATGCATGCCTACATATCAACTTTTTACATTGAATTTGTTGATATTATATTTAGTGGGCTTATAACAAGTTAAACATGTTTATAAACTGTTCACTTAATTTTTCTGGTACTCTTCTTCAAGAAATTAGGCTAAAATTCTATCTTCGGATATGTTTGTATTAGTTGGTCAGTGTCCCAAAGGAATATTGTATTGGTTTTTCTTTCCTAAGCTAGCAGCCATATACAACACTGTCATAAAAGTTTACAACATTGATCTCTGATATGTCGAAAGAGGCTCTGTTTTACTTCTGAGCAAGCATTTATGATATCACATTTCTCACTTGTATTCCCATTTGGAGGTCAGGAATGCTGAGGGAAGGGAATTCCACCTGTGCTGAAGTTTGTCTTGTAAATCTGTTCAACTGATTTGTATTTTAAGATCATGGAAACATGTACATGCAAAAGCAAATGGGAATATAAATCTTCAGGGGTCACTTAATCAGGATGTTAGGACTCTTCATACACAGTGATTTTAATGATCTCAAGGTTTTATGAAAGCGTTTGAATCATTATGACTGTGGCAATAAAACTTCAGTGGAGTTACCAGACTTTTAGTGGGAGCAGGTTATGAATTGGAAACTTCATCAGAATAAGCAACACTCTAATGACTTCAAATCAACTAATGAAGCTGGTTTGTGGAAGGGAATGAAAATTGTTTGTAATTACCATGTTACGCTTCAGTTTGAAGTCCCTGGGAAGCCCTCTGGCTTTATGGATAAGATACCTTTATGTCTTTCCACCTTTGTTTTCAGTGTAGAGAAGCTTCCAGAATTCTCTAGTGCAAACTTGCTGCTGCTATTTTCTTGGGGAAATAAAACCTCTGCCATCTAAATGTACTAGAACACAGAAATTACTACTTTACCCTGGCATGTCTTGAAACCACCCTCCTTGATTTAAGTTGCTGGCAAGAATTACCACCTCTTCTTGACTACTGTAAATCTGGAAAAATCAGAAACTGAGTTGCTGAAAAAAGTCTCTGAGCTAAAAGGTTGCCAAGAGACTATCCTTAAATATGACATTCTGTGCTTTGTGCATTTTGCATTGCCACTTCCCAGCAAATCGCTAGGCAGTCTCCTCTCTATGACTTAATTCCTCCCTCCAAACAGATTTTTCTATGGAATGTAGGCAAGGACAGCTGATAGTGTCAAAGCCAAGACATCCAAGCTAACACACAGTTGCTGCATCTTTGATCTACATGGCATCTGCTTTTCCATACTTTGTCTTGAAATGTCCAAATTGATTGGGCTCATCAGGACCTTCATACACCTCACTGTCATTGCAGTCTGTTTTGAACTTCAAACCTTCATTCATCTTGTATAACTCATTCCCAATGTCTGGGATCTCCTCGAAGATGTGGCAGGGCCTGGGAAGATCCAAAGCTTGTTTCTGAAATCATTCTTCAGTCTTGGGACTCTGCCTTTAACCCTTTTGGTGGAGATATGTGCAAGCCGTCTCACCTATACTGTGACAAACATTCTGTAGTGAAATACATCATGAGCCTGAACAAAGGCTTAATGTCTTCCCTGGGATATCTTTCAGCTGCCCTTCCCTTCAAAATGCAGTAAAGAATGTGACAGGTTTTATTCAAATTTGAGAGCTTTTTAAAACTTAATGGTTTAAAGCTTTCAACTCCCTAAGCATATAAAAGAGATATAAGAGTCTGGGTTTTTTCTCTCATCTCTTCCCCTTTATAGGAATGCAGTGGGTACCATTCAATTCTTTGTTCTTTTGGAGCCCAAATTTGATGTTTGGTTTTGGGTTTTTTTTTATTATATCCTGTTACTGGTGAACACAGGAGTTCTGAAGATGTTGTACACCTTGATTTACCTTCTGTTGATGTTTGTCAGTCTTTTCAGTGTATTTATCAATCATCTTTATATTTTGCTGTGTTTGAATTATACACAAAAAATGGAGCATGGGTCAATTAAAAAGAATTTTAAATAATAGTAAGTGAAGTGACCTCTCCATATATGTTTGAGGAGTGTGGTAGTGGTTCTATGCAGAAACACTTACTAAGTAATGCAGAATTTCTACAGAGTACAGCATGATAGAATTTAAAGAGACCATCATAAGTTGTGACTGCTTACATTGTTCTGTGTGTGATACATAATTTAAAGATTTCCATTGAGGCTACTATGACTAATGTAATATTCTGACTGCAGAATCCATGCAGCTTCTATTAAACTGTTTAAGATGTACCATTTTTGTTTTGTTTGAGCAGTAGGTTCCTGTGTGGCTAATGTCTCCAGTATGCATTTTTAATGATTTAATTAAATAAGGTTATGCACACTGAATTTCTCTTGGGATTGAGACTCTGCTGTTTGCATCTTTTATACCTTGTTTAAGCTAGAAAAAAAGTGTTTCCTCCAACAGATAGCTTAATCCAGGCTGCAGCCATACCTGACAGCTTTGAGTTGATATGAGTATTGGCTGCCACTGCAAAATGAGGATCTGGTAGCACCAAAGATTTTCATGCCTTGAGCCGGATAAGGAAATACGCCTGGCTAATAATAGAAAAACATCTAGTTATATACATTCAGCAGGGTGCTTCCTCAGATTGCTTGAAAGTGACTGTGGAACCCTTGGTCAAAACTCTCATTTTTGCTGAAAATAGACACAGCTTAATGCTTCTGCCTCAATTTTCAACAGTTCAATTTATTACCCAGAGCACCATCCTAGATTAACAACTTTGTTATAATAAAATTAATAACACTTTATTCTGAAGCCTTCTATTCTTTTCTTGTTCTGTGTAATATTTGGCCAGATAATGTGCAGAAAGCTGTTTCACTGTACAGATTCAGTAACCTCTGTATGGGGGGAGAGTCTCATGACTGAGAGTGCAGTTTTGGTAGCTGACAGGAAAGATCAAGCTGCTGCTTTGACAGTTAATTTTTATTGTTTTTCTCCCTTGTGCATTAAGCAGTCAAGGCACCATAGCCTGCCAGTAGCTGTTTTAATTATCACCTTTGAATGAAGTTTAATCTACAGTTGTCAGAAAATATGAAACACATGGCCCTAGAACATAAGTTGTATCCCTCTTGGTAATGTTTCCTTTCAAATAAGGAAAACTGAATTCTGCACGTTGAGTCAAGGGCAGTAGAATATTCTTTCCCCACAAAACAAAACAAAAAGGGGTTAGAAAGAATGCAGGCTTAGTGAGGTTGACAGTCTCTTCTATGGCAACTAAAACCTGCAAACTAAACCAGATGCTTGTGTATAAATAAGATATTTTGTGCAACAGAAATGCAACAGTCAGAATAGGCATGTTTTAATGTACTGGCTTGGTAGAAAAACTCTTGTAATTTGTCTTCAGTAATATGGACTATGGAGAACGTGTACTTGTTTGCTTGATGGAAATCTGGGTTTGTAGATGTAGTAGATTTGCCTGTTTGCATAATTTGTGCTTTCTGAAGTAGTAGTTAAAACTGTTCTCTCAGTTTCTCTTGGCTGATGTTACAGCAGTACTCCTCTTAAAAGGCTCATGAAGACCTAACTTTCTTATCTCTGCCTGTCATGCAACAGCTATTATTGGTGTTTGGTTTTTTTAGTATGTTACCAGTGACCTCTGTAGAGAGGTGCTTCTGCCAGAGGGCGGAGCACACATGTGTGTTGATCCTGCCTTCGTTCCTCTTACCATTTGGAATGGTGAAATGGAAGCCAGTAAATGTCTGAGCTGCTTTTGCCATTGTAATCTTATCCTCTGAAACCTTTGAGGTAGAAATCTCATAACTTCATCTCTTTTTCAGTTAAGATGCTCCTGTACCCCATTGCCCTGTGTTTGCTTCAGTTTGGGTGTAAGCTCTCTAGGTTTAGACATTGCCCAGCCTGTATCGTCACTGCCCTTGCCATCTGTGGCAACAGGCACTACCTATTCAGTTTGGGAGGGAAGCAGTGTCTTCACCTCGGATCTGAAATTAAGAGGAACATGCCTGAAAAGGCAGAAGCTAGAAAAGCCAGCTGTTTCCAGTCATCTCTCGCATCCAGAGAAGGCTTTTTCTGCCAAGAATGAAGAAAGTAATTTTCAGCAAGCATCAGTCTGAGCAGGTAGACTACCGTGGAGACAGACAGTGAGTTGAAAGTGAGAAAGAAGATGCATGTGTGTGCTGATTCTAACCAGCACTGGTTGTGTTGGTCAACCTACTAAGACCAGGGTGGGATTATCTCAGAAGACAGAACATTCACATCTTTACCAGCTTGGACAGCTTATCAGAGGCAGGTGGAAGTGGGAGGCATTCCTAAGCCTGCATTATGGTCTGTCCTTGCTTGCTTAGTTGGGCCTCCTTTGCACTACAGAATTATCTCGGATAATTTTTAGACTCCTGAATGGCTCCAGGAAAAAAGGAAAAAAGTGCTTCAATTCTAGCTGCCCTCAGAGCATTAAGACAGGCAGTTCATTGTTCAACAAAACATTGACTTTACCTAATGCTGCTTACTAGATTTGACTGAAGATGCTAGCTGTTCTGTCTGAAAGCAGTTCATTTTTCAGCCAAACAGTTAATAGAATGGAAGATGTTGCACCATTATCAGTCATGCTTTGACTGATCTGATAATGAAACCATAAGCACTCAGATTTTCTGACGGCTGCCAATTAGAAGTGTACTGGGTACAGGTTGGCAGTACTTACTGAAGCCATTATTCAAGGAACCTTGGTCTGTCTCAGCTTGTTTTATGCAGATGAACATCTTAGATTTCAAAGCTGCTGCTGAGTCAGTCTCCCAGACAATACAATAGCCAAGCCCTGCTGGAAGAAGTTGGGCCTTCTCCTTGCCCACCTGATTTGAAGCCGTTCAGCTCTGCAGTTGGTGTCACTAGAATGAGATGCTATTGACTGCCTTTTCTCATCTAGGAGTTTGCCAGCTAATCAGTGATTAGGCCTGGATGTTCCTTGCTTGGTTCCTTGCCCAAGGTTATATTCTTTCCATGTGGATTCCCCTACGGTAGATGTGTTTTGCAAGATGGACGATTACAAGCTACTAAATTCTGTTCCAGGTGAGCTTGGAACCCAAGACTGTTCCTAGACAGTTTCATTCTGCAGTAAAGCAGTGGATTCGCTTTCTACCACTATTCCCAGAGAGGGGTAGTTTCCGAGATCAAGAAATGAAGCTACAGACATCTTGATAACTGTACTATGAAAGGCAGTTGTGGCTAGATGAAGCAGTACAGGTACCCTTTCACACTGCCTGTGTCTGAGCTTTCTGCCTCAGCCAGGTTTGAAACCTACCTGCCAGAGCGCCTTGGAGCACCGTGGACAGGGGCCACCCAACACACCTGGAGGTCCTTGCCAGGCAGGAAGCAGGGCAAGCTCTTCTTGCAAATGGAAATGGTTTCAGTATGGTCAGTGTGGAAATTCTTTGGATCCTGTCCAGGCCTTAGTTCTTGAAGGTCTCTTCTACCCACTGCACCTCAAACAAGCTGGGACTTTTTGGTCAGGATTTTAGTAAATGTAGCGTTCAAGATGATGTTCTTTGATGTTTCCAATACTTTTTGACATTTTTCTCTGAAAATTCTCACCTGCTTATTTTTTTTAGACTGAGCAGTTTTCAAGGCAGCACCTGCATCCATTAAGTGAGTTGTATACTTCTGTAATTTATTCTTGGCCAATCTCAGTGTCCTACCTAAGATACTATGCTTGCTTACCTGTGTTTTTTCAAGTAATGGAAGAAGATAAATGGGAGATACTAAACATGTATTAGTTGTGTAAAATCTGCTTTATTGTTGGCAAGTATAAACACTCCTTAGCTTTTCTTTATTTACCACTGAAGCTTCATATTTTAGTGGCTTATGATGTAATTCTTTAATAACCGCTCCTCAAAGATATACAGAGCAGTCTGGACAGTGCTTCTGCTTGTTGACCACCTATTTGGTGTACCCCTTCTGTGAAGCATGAAGGCTTGCTCCATCCAACCCCAGGCAATGTTTTCCATTCACATCTGGCCTAGACTAGTAATGATATACAAGTCAGTAATAGAGGGATAACCTACTGACTTTTGTCAGTTGTTGCCTTAAAGTGGTGTGATTGACTTAATGATAAGTTTGTATTGAGCTAATGTAGTGCAGCTCTTCATCTCACAAAGCCTAGCAGTTCTTGCTTTTCAGCTGCTTGCAGTAGATTTCTGTAAATATAACATATGTTAACACCCTTTATTTATCCTGGAGTAACTGCTGCTTAAACAAGTCAGTGTGTGGCTCTTGGACCTGGTCCTCTGTCCATTGTTTTGGATTAATCAGCTGCCATGGACTTTGTGTCCTGATGGAGTGAAAGAGGAATATAGCTTCTTTGCTCAGAAGGCACCAGGGTGTACACACAGCCTCAGGCAACAGTGCTTTTAAAAGGCTGTGTTTTCATATGTTTGCATAGAGAAGGTCACAGGGTCAATATTCAGAATTATGGTTATTGCATTACAGGCAACTGTTTTGTCTTTAATTATCAATATCAAAAAGTTAACTGTCTAATGCTAATTAATTTTGTGCTAAAGAGTTATGAGTAGAGAACGTCTGGCTAAACAGTTAAATTTTCCCATCTTGGAAGACAAAAATATGTTGCTTTTAAGGAATTGCAAAAGTAGAGCTACATACATATACTGGAGAAAAAAAAAGATGATTCATGGTAAAATTTTAGAGAGGCTGTTCCATCGGAAAGAGCTGGAACATTGGCTTCACTATGCTGCATTGTGCATAAACCTAATCTCTATATGTAAGTAGGGCTATTTTGCTTCTAAATTGTGTATCTGTGCATACCAATGGTCACTTGTGTCTTTGGCAGTCTGTGTTCTTAATTACATGGTTGGTGGATAATGGAGAAATTTGAACCCAAAATTTTGATTGGTAGTATTCTAACATGGCTTTGCAGTTCTTGTTTGGGTTTCTTTTTTGGATTGGATTAAAAATTTTGCACCCAGGAGTTGTAGTTTTGTATGCAACTGCCTAACTGCTAGTTGCTGACTCCCAGGGATAGCATACTCTGCAAAAGTTTTAAGAGAAGCTGACAAAACTTTCTGTGATGAAGTACCCTGAAGATTGCCATTTCATTCCTTTGCCATGTATTGAGTATAATGATTAGATTAAACCAGTAAAAAAATCTGTAATGGTTCTGTTCTCTCAACTGATGCAAGAAAATATACTTAATATTGTTTATTAGGAAGTTTCTTAGGAAATAAATACTTCTATTTGATAAAATAGATGTATATTTACTAATGCTTCATAACTAGGAGTATGATTCTATAGCAGTAACTACTAAGGACTAATGTATACGAAGTAGGTTGGTTATCTTCTTCTGTCATCTCATACCTGTTTTTTTAAAATTATTATTTTATGCTTACAGGTGGCAGTGTGCTGTATTTGTTTCTTTGTCATTCTTCCATTGAACCTCGTTGGTACGATTCTTGGCCGAAATCTGTCAGGACAGCCTAATTTTCCATGTCGTGTAAATGCAGTGCCTCGTCCCATACCGGAGAAAAAATGGTAAAGACAAGCATGCATGTTAACTAGATATATTCACTTCAATACATTTAAAAATTACTTTTCAGATGTGATCATTAAAAGTTGTTCTAGAATAACTTCATTTAAATTGAGTTGTGTCTAGAAGAACACCTCTACTAACATTTCCTTAATATGATTTTTCTGTTAAATAAAAACACCAAGTGCAGTTAATGGTTAATAGTTGTAGCAAATTTTACAGTCCTGGATCACTGATTCACATTTGACCTGAAATGATCTTCAGTCTCTAATATAAGAGGGTTGGTCCCAACCCAGTTCTTGTATGGGTATCTTGAAACTAAACCTTTCGTCTTTAGTTAATACCTCTTACAGATTTAGGATTGAATGTGCCTTGAAGGCAGAACTGTTCTGTTTAATGGTCTCCATGTACAAGGTGAGACATATTTGCAGGGTGATGGTGGGGAGAAGCTTGCAATGCTGCTCCCAATTCTGCACTTTTGTTGATGGCAAAGAGCCTAAAATACTTCAGGTATATGTTTCGAATTGTGAATAAGCCTTTATTAATTTGAAGTGAATATAAAGGGGTGGGTGCCTAGTCTCAAAAGGTAGACTTGGGTTTTTGGAAAATCAATGAATGCAGTCACTTTTTCCTATTAATTTAATTCTGAGGTGGAAGCAGTAAGCTATGGAAATTAAAAGATCCTCAGAGGACTTTTTTTAATAGATTTTTCTTGCTTTCCCTGTTCAGAGGAATGGAACAGACAAAGTGAAGGGGGCACTGAAACGTGTATATCCAGGAAGTGCAGCACACTTAGTCTCTTGTTCGTGGTCGTGCAGCTCAGATGCTAGGATTTGATTTATATTGTGACCTGTATCTTGGGAATCTGATGGATTTTTCTGGATCAGCATGACAGATAAAAAGAAATAAGATACTTCTCTTGAAGGTGATGAAATTGTACACCATCAACTTAGACAAGTCTCTCTATAAATAATAAAAGAAGCTCCAAATTAAATCACTGGTTACTAGCTAGATTCAGCACCATTGCAAGTACTACACAGAGGTCACCTTTAGTAAGTGACAGTATCATCTACAGGTAGCTGAGTATTCATTTTTTTGGCCATAGGCTCATGACTCAGTATAGCATTAAAAAGAAACACTCATGCTTAATTATATAACCATTACCCTGTAAAATTCTCTTTGTGCTTTTTGCTGTATTTGTAGCCATCAACAGCTATGAGTTTTCACTGCCTTCGTTCAAGGCTAGTGGATGTTATGGGGTTTGATTGCATAAGCCCTTTTTGGGCAAGAGAGATTCTTCCCATAGGCTTTAAGGCTGGTTAGATGCTTAACTTTATGCCTATAGGTGATAGGTATGAGACTTACGTTTTGTTTCAGCTTTCCCCAAGAATAACTCCTCCTGTCCATATACATGACACCCTTGGGGGAATCTTCTTTCTAATATGCTGGTATGAGGCAGAAATGTTCTTGTTAGCATGCCTTTTAAATAATTCTCTGTGCTGTATTAATTACCTGGTTATATGTCTTAATCTGTTTATAAATGAAAGATTAAAGTTGTCCTTAAACTAATCTTAATATCTTTCAGGTTCATGGAACCAGCTGTTATTGTTTGCCTAGGTGGAATCCTCCCTTTTGGATCAATTTTTATTGAAATGTGAGTATGTCAGCTATTTGCCAATTTGATAAAAAAGTATGATAATTTAAGTTCAATTACAATATCATCTGCATATTTTGTTTACTCTCTTCAGGTATTTCATTTTTACTTCATTCTGGGCTTACAAGATCTACTATGTTTATGGCTTTATGATGTTGGTTCTGGTTATCCTTTGCATTGTGACAGTTTGTGTGACTATTGTTTGTACGTATTTCCTGCTAAACGCAGAGGATTATAGGTGGTAAGTATTGCATTATTTGCATAGTTTACTTTTATAGAAAACTCTCACAATCTGGTTATGTTCTTCAGTCTCGATGGGTCTTTGCAAAGTGTCCCATGTCCAGATTTTAGCTGTAGGGAATAAAAGCAGTTCTTGGGTCCTTTCTGTACAGGAGCTTTCTGTGTGTATGTGCATCTGTGCATGCTTGTATGCACATATAAAAAAAAAAATCAAGGCACACAGGAATATGAAGCAGGATCATCACTTGGTATCAGTGGTAGCTGTTGCCATAGAAGCTTTTGTCACTTACACCAGACAACGTACACATTTAGTTAAATAAGCCTGTAGAACCAGTACACTTTATTTTCAGGGTAAGGTTTTAGCACATTGTGCGTCTTCTTGGGAAGCCTTTTGGTTAGATATATGATGGACATGTGTGTTTACTTTCAGGCAATGGACAAGCTTTCTTTCTGCGGCATCAACTGCGATTTATGTTTACATGTACTCCTTTTACTACTACTTTTTCAAGACAAAGTAAGCGGTAGTTTTCTTGCTTGAATATCAGGTTACCATATTGCCAAATAAGTTTATTGATAAAAACCTGGGGAAAATACCTAGCATAAATTCCTATCTTTCTTTTTCAGGATGTATGGCTTGTTTCAAACATCATTTTACTTTGGTTATATGGCAGTATTTAGCACAGCTTTGGGAATAATGTGTGGTAAGTTTCGAATATATTAACAGTTTTCTATGAGAATTTTTCAGGCTCATGTTCCTGATTTTAGCTCTGTGGTTTTAGTGGTGGAGTGTGTATGTCTGCAAGATGTGCTGAAAAAGCTTCCAGTCTTTAAAAAGAATCTTAGCGTTATCTTGGTTCCTACCTAATATAAGAGACTTCTGTGGATTGTGTCTTCTAATTTATGTACTGTGCAGAGAATTTCACCCTGAGCGCAAGCTTGAAAGACTCAATAGCTGGCAAGAAATTCTGCAAAATAAATTACAAATTAAGTTGGAGTCCATGCTAGCATTTTGTTTCAGAGTTTTTACTGTTGCCCCAAGACAAGGAGCTAGGTATGTGCATTGAGGCATCAATGGTATTGCAATACTGATGACGCTACCATCTGTATCTTGTGGCATGTGTATATATGAGGGTGACCAGAACAGAAAGGGCTGACACTTCAGGATAGCATTGGAGAAATAAGTATTGGAATATTCAGAGGTGAGGAGAATGCAGAGTGCTCCTGTGTACAGGTGGACTTCATTGCTTTTTAAGATACTGTTTTGCCAGATGTATAGAAAAAACATAGTTCTTGGCATGGAGGTCATCTGATAAAGTCAAATATACTTGTTCACCTATTAGCTTTATTTTTATCCTTTGCTGTATGACTTTCAGAAAATGCTACTTGGTTCTTTTGCACTTTCCTATGTTGTTGTTTGCTTCTTTATGTGTGATCCTTATTTAATATTTTCCTTCTTAGCAGTGAATGAATAGTCCTATAGACTCTAGTGGAAGGATTTCTTTGAGTTAGATATTTGAGACACATGATGTCTTACAGGAATTTACTTTCTGTAAAGTACACATTTCTTGATGTCCTAGGAGGGTGGGTAATTCACAATGCTTTATAAAAAGGGGAGGGAAATCATCACTTAACTGCTGAATACCTGTTCCCCTTTTCTCTCATACAATCTCATCTTGCTTCATCAGGTTCTTGGCACATTACAAGACTTGCCTGCTGTTTTGGTAGTCTTGCAGCCTTTTTTTTTTTTTTTTTCTTTAATAGGCTTATACTTTTCAGCTCTAATCTTTTCTTTTTAAAGTGCTCAGGCTGGTATTGATTAAAATGTCTATGATGCAGAAGCCAAGCTTGCCTACCAGTTTCTGTAATTAAAATGTTTTTTTTATAGCATGGAAAGGGAAGATTGTTGAATGCTTTCTTGTCATGGTAGGACATTACTTGATGGAATATTAGAGTAAAATCCAAATTTATTCAAAATCAGAAGATACTTTAACACATTACACTTTATTTCCACAGCTCTGTTGAGATTTCTTTTTGTCTTTTTAAGTGTGTTGGAAGAGAAGCTGTGAGATTCCTTTTTACTGAGAACTCCCATTTTCAGCATGTGGAGGGAAGAAAAAAATCCCCTGTCAAAAAGCATTTGTCTAGGGAACTTGCTGCCATTGAGGTCTAACAAAGGCATTTGTGTTAAAGAATTGTGCAGTGTGCGTGCTACTGACTGTATGTCTCCTGTGAAAATTGTGCAGGGCTGTGCTTTGGAGGCTCACACGAATGGGCGTGTTCACACAGTTGGATATGAGACAAACTAGTTAGTGTCCAAAGCAGCCACAGGGAAACTCTGTAGGCTTGTATCATCCAGCTCTGGGTTGAGTGCCCCTGACAATGCCTGGTGAACTCAATTCCCACATGATGTGCAATGCTTTGATCCACAAAGTCTGCTGCCCTCTGTAGAGCATCTCAGTTCTGGGACTGGACAGTAGGGAGCCCATGAGAACTTCCAAACCTTTTGAGCTCCTCGTGTTTCCTTCTTAGTGACGGAAAAGAATAAAACTTATTCCCCAACTCAGTAGATGGCTTAGGAGCTAGGTTGTATAGAAAGGCCTCTTGCAATACCACACTTCAGCACCCAGATAAATACTGTAAGTATGATTGAAGGGCTTTTTAAAAAAAATCTGTGCTTACAAAGTCACAACTGTAGCAAGTGTTAATTGGTTTGAAGTAATAGATGGGAATTAATCTCTTTCTGTTTTGTGGTTGCTCTTCCTCACTATTTGGATTTTTCTCTTTATTTAAAAGCTTGTTGTTCTGCTGAAATATGCTTGCAGTCTATTTCTGCTAAATCTGTGTAGGCCATAACCAAGTTATAAATATAATCTGATAAGATGTTTAATAAGTAAATAAAATCATTCCCTTTACTATGGACTTTTTTTATTCAAATAAACCAACTGTCCTGCATTTGTTTCAGGTGGACATTCTTTACTTGTCATTGTCTAGGGTTTCCCCCTCCCCACCCCACGTTTTATTCAATGCCTGTGAAGTAGCCTTGAGGCTTAACCCCTGCCTTGGGTATTGGCCATTGTGGCCTTCCTGGATAAGGCTCCTGCGATTCAGGATATGTTATGATTTGTTTATGGGGTTGAGAGCTTGTGACTCCTACTCTCTACTCCTTCCCCTCACTTCCATCTCATGCACACATTCTCTAGATCCCAACTGAAACACAATTAATGCTTTGTTCTCCCAAATCTCTGTGATATCTGGCATCACATCACTAGAGAAACCCTCAAAGACCAAGTTCTGGAATGTATCTGAGTTTAGCAACTAAAATGGGCATTGGATGTATTGGCAGTGCCTGCTTTAACAGGCAAAACATGGTAAGTCTTAAAACAGGAGTTCAGTGCCATTATTTTGTCCATTTACTGCATGAGACAGAAGATGAGTTTCTTGACAGGCTACAGAAGAATCTGCATGTTCTCCTTTATGACTCCAAGCTCATGTCACCTCCTCTGCACAGCCCATGCTTGGGTCGGTCTGAATGCTGTACAGGTCTCTCCTTGAACTGCCAGGCCTTCCCTCTGCTGTGTCCTCAGCATGCTTAATGCTTGCAAACAGCAACCTGATCTTGTGTGTGCTGTATTTGTTTTAATCAAACTCTACTTTGTCCAAGTTAGTAATACAACTCCCCGATTGAAATGCTATGCAGCACAGAGGCTGACTCCACAGGGTCTTTACCACTCTGATAGCATTGGAATGATGCATCAGACTTGCCTTGTGCAGATTTCCTGATTAGATATGAAAGTTGGGCTTTTGGGGGTCTAAAACCCAAAATTTTGTGAGAGTTTAATGGCTGACCTCATGAATTATCCAATCAGTCCCCAGGATTTAAAGAACTCTCCAGGTTCTGAATAACTCTGTGGTCAGCAATGCTAGCTGCAGCTCTGTATGGCCTTAATTTCTAAAGGCAAAAAAACCTTTATATTTTTATTGGAAAATGAAGTTTTGGCAGAAAACTTTTAGCGTTGGTTAGGCTCTTGTATTAACTCATCTTGTACAAGTCTGGTGCATCCCAGATCACCAAAAATGTTACTTCAAGCTTTGTTCTGGGCTTTTCTGTATTGCTTCAGGGAAGCAAAAATATCTTTTCTGTTTAGAGTCCATTCTTTACTGAGCATCCAAACATTTTATGTTAGGAGTTCTTTTCTCTGTAGTGAGTTACAGGCCCTGACTTCTCTATCCTTTTCTTCCCATATCTTATGATGTGTTATTCTGGCAATCTGACAGCAGTTGTCTCTAATTCTTGCTTGATTTTCACCTTCACTTCTAACCTGGGAATTAGCCAAACCGCTTCCACAAGGCTAACTTACTCTTATTTTGCTTGGAAGAGGTGAAGATATTCCCTGCAGATATCATAAGACAACAGTATTTCCTGAGCCTGGCAAACCTGAGGTTCTGGGTTTGACCAGGTAGGTTGCTGAATCTCTTACTGAGAAGAGGTCTTGGTCCAGTGCATTTCTTTCATTTTTCTAGATGTCCTTAGTCCTGCAGTATTTGGGGTTTAGCACACAGTGTTGCCCCTATCAAAAACCCAGTGACCTGTTCTTTTATTAGTGCTGTGACAATGCGTACTCTGCTCATGACTCTTACTAATTTGAAAACCACAGGTTGCAATTTCCTTTAACTACTAACTGCTACTAGTTTAATCTCTTTGTACAGACCTCCTTGGAGTCTAAGACTCCTGGGATGGGGATCTATTATTATTTGTGCCTTGTGGGAAGGGAAAAGCCATCTGCCAATAAAACACTCATCCAGAAGGCATGGAACTTATAATAAAAACCCGCCCTCCCATCCACCTTCCCTGCAGTGTGGGTGATTGTATGTTTTTTACCCTCTGTTCAGAAAAAGGGACCTGGTTATTGGCAGCAGTAGGGGGGCTGCTATATTTATCGAGGCCAAGTGAGCATGGCCTCTTGGTAAGAAGGCTTAATGGATTTAGATTGCTGGACTAGGGGAGTTCTTGCCAGACATTCACTGGGAGCATGGATAATTAGAGTTTGAGAACAAGTATTGCAGGTAAATAATTTTCTGTGTGCAGAGTGCATGCTTTATGTGACTTTCTCTCTTAAAAGTGTGTGTGTGTTTTATATTGCTGGCTTATTTTGATGATCAGCTCTCTAACATGTTCAACGTTTTTTGGTTTATTTTGCAGGAGCTATTGGTTACATGGGAACAAGTGCCTTTGTTCGTAAAATCTACACTAATGTGAAAATTGACTAAGGAAATAAGAAAATTGAACTATGGATCAGCTCCTGTTTTCATGGGGATGAACTTGCACAACAAAAAGCGCGAGAAGAGATTTGGGTTTTAACACTGGGCACTATATGGGTCTCCATTTTGTGGATGGCTTAAAGTAACATCTATTTCATTGATCCTAGGTTCTTACTGACTGCTTTCTCCAACTGTTCACAGCAAATGCTTGGATTATATGCAGTAGGCATTACTACAGTACGTGGCTAATCTTCCCCCCCCCCCCAAAAAACCAAACAAAAACCCTAGCTCATTAAAGATGAATAGACTAGCTCTCTTCAGTGAAGAGGACAAACGGTTTATTTAAAGCATTTGTTCCATTCAATAAAAAGAGGGAAACTTGGCTGCTAAAACTACTTGATTAGTAGTCTTCCTGGTACTTAACATTTCTAAATTATGTAAAAATGCTGTTCCAGAAAGATTACTCTTCTGATTTTTACTGCCATTGCCAGGATAGGAGGTATGTTTTATATTTTGACTCCAGGTGCTTTTTGGTTTATTTGCGATATCAACTATACCCTACACTCATTTGTTTAAAAAATAATTTAAAAATATATTAAAAACCCATATGCATGTAATATATCAGCTGTTGTTCTAGTTGGACCAACTTCCCTTTATCTTGAAAGTAATATCCAGCTACATCTTAAATCCATCCAAAGAAAATACAGTCTGAAGACGGGATGTGTTCTCTGCAATGCAATTTACTGTACAGTTAGAAAGCAAAATGTTAAATGAAGAGGATTGTTTGGTTTTTAATAAACACTTCGAGGTCTAGATTAAAACAAAACCAACATTTTAACTGAATGTCTAAAGTGATTCTCCTTTTTTCCAAGTTAGTCTTGCATATTTTTTTTTGTTTGGGTTTGTATGAAGATTTTCCTTTAGACATTATACAAGGGGTAATAAGTGTATATAACATTAAATAATGTAACTTAGGTGTAGATCCCAAATGTATTTGGATGTACAGATTTACTACAGAGTACTTTTCTGATGATTCGGTGTAAAAATGTGTGAATTTGGGTGGCTTTTTACATCTTGCCTGCCATTGCATGAAAAGTTGGGGTTTCTTCACAATGTGTGTTATGTCATGCTTTTCTGTTCTATTTCCTTTCTCAAGCTCTTACAGGAATTAAATTTGTAATTTAGAACATTTTAATTTTTGTTAATCCTATCTGGACACTTGTGTAACATCAGAAGCATAGTTGCTTTAGAGTGTTCAGAAAACTAAAATAAACTTTTCAGACAAAAATGTTATGATTGTGAAAATAGATGAGTTTGCAATGGAAAATGTTTGAAAAGGCAATACTGTTGAATGCCAGTTTCTGTACACAATATTAGTGTGGTTTTCAAATATCAAAACCCCATGCTTTGAATTCAGAATTTGCTTACAACTATATTGTACAGTACAGCTCCAAAGTGGATGACCAGCCCAAAAAGATTCTTCTTGGCTGAACTGTTTGTGGAGAAATCTGTTTTGTGATCCAGCTAGTGTACTGAGAAAAGTGGGGGTAAATGTGGACTGAAATAAATGGATAAATGGGCAAATAAAGGTTAAGTCTTTCTAAGATGACTGTTAATTATGCACTGTATTTAGCTAGAAATATCCTGAATGTGTTTGTGACAGATCTGAGAGCGAGTTGGCTTGATTTTTTTTTTTTTTTTTTTTTAATTTATTTTAGGCATCTGCCACATAGGGATGTTTTCATCGGTGTGGCTGTCTGAAATAGAGCACCTGCCATGAAGAAGGCAACTTCCTGAATTTAAAAAATGAGCAAAGTATTTGTATTGATTACCACTGTATTGTCTCTATATAAAAAGTACTGATAATACAGTAGCCACAATGAGAAACAACCGTGCTTTGGCAGGGTTGGCTTGGAGGTTGGGGGAACTAAACTGATAGGTAATAGTGAGAAGCCATGCATCCTGCTGTATATGGCTTCGGAAAAAGTATTTGAGCTTTCAGCTCTCATTTCTGTGGCCAATTTTAGCCAATCTGTCAGAAAATAATTAAGTTTTGCTTCAAGTGAATGGTTGGTGTCTGTAGCTGAACACTCTGCCATTTAACAGAAGACAATTTTTTTTTTAAAGTACAGGCTGATTTTAAGATGAGCTCATAAACTGGGTCAACAGTTAGTTTTCCTTTGTTCCAAAACATGGAGACTTAAAGCAAAGAAGGGGTTTTGTGCTAGTTCTTGCTAGTGCATACAGCTGTGGGAAGCCCTCTTTTCATCCATGTTCTTCTAAATCTGAAGCGAGAAGCCATTATCTCCACACAATAAATACATTAAGTACTCTGCCGAGTTACAAGTTTTTTAAAGGGAATATTTTGATAATGGGTTTGTTTCTCTATTTAGAGCACTGCTATGTCATTAGTCTATCAGAAATGTCACTAAACAGTTTGTGAATTTCATTTAATCACCTTTTAATGCCACAGAATGGTGGGCTGCCTACTTGCTTTCTCTATCCTCCAGCATTATTAGCTTTTGCATATCCAGATAGGATTGTATAGCTTTTAAAGTGACATTGAAAAGATACTTACTGCACAGGCATTGCTTTTGTTTCTGCAAGCACATTCCTCTGGAGAAGTACTGTGTTTAAATAATTGACATTTTTATACTTCTACCCTAGCACGTAAGTTGGGGGTTTGCTTTGTTTTCCCCCTTCCTTTTGGTTTCTGAGGGAGTGCAAAATGTGACCAGTTTTCAACAGCTTGTCTTTATGGTTGGTGTTTGGGGCAAGGCTATTTATTTGCCCCCCAAAAACTGTGGGTATAAGCTTGAACCATCTTGCTTAATACAATTCAGAAACTCTCTGCTTAGATGATGTAGTCCTTCCTCTTTTATGGAAGAAATAAAGATCTTACAGCCAACACTCCTTTTTCCATGGTTGTTTCTTAGGAGTTTCTGGTTCTTGAATTCAAGTTTTTTGATAACTCTTCAGCTGTCTGCTCAGTGCTTCTCTTGCCACTTATGGTACAGAGGCCAGAGAATTGGGTAAATAGTTGTGTAGCAATAGCCAATCTTGATCAAATGCTTTAGATAAATACGATTGTAAATCTGGTACTTCATGTATGAAAAGTGGTGAATGCTGGATTGGAGATAATGGAGACTGCAAATAAACATTATATTATGCTCCTTTTTTGATGTCTTGAATGTTTTGAAGCAACAGTGTCTATTAATTCCTCTCCAGAATTACATTCCAAAGTGTTTAAAGGGCACACAATTAAATTGTTTTCTGTATGATAGTCTAGGTGTACTTCTTTAACAAGTTTCAGGTTAAAAACCAAAAACCTAATATTTTTTACACTTTTGGTGCTAAAACTGGGTAAAATCAATAGCACATTTTTACCACTGTCATTGCTGCAGAGGTAACACAAATGAAAAGGTTACATTTTGCTCTGGCTTCAGCATCACCAGCATCTAGCCAAATTTGCTCAATGAAGTATATATACACAGCTTCATTGAAGCCTGCAAAATTGCATAACTGAGTGCATCAGCAATTTCTCCACTGGAATGTGTCTGAAAAGTGTAAGCCAAGGAAAAACCAAGTCTCCTCTCCAGTCTGTGGACAAGCAAACAATGGTTGGAGCTAGAGTTGAGGGATCCTCTTGAATTAACTCTGCAGCTTGTGTTTCATTTTAAGAGTTGGTTGGAACTGTAGGTTGGAGGAGGATTCCATTTTTGGATCCCTTGGATCTGTCCTAGCTAAATGCACTATGGTAGCAGTAGCCTTGTGATGGCCATTAGCACTGTCGCTGTCTAAACCAAGTGTATCTTACTAGTGCTAGCACTGAAGTCATGAAAGCCCCTGCTATTGTTGGACTTCAGTTGGAATAAAGCCGCACTTTAAAATTTTGAAGCAGCACATTTATGGCTTGCATTCTTAAGGAGCATCTTTTGTCAAAAAAAAAAAAAAAAGCTTTGGTGCCATTTGTTTTCCAAAGCCTTGCAAAGGAACGTTTGCTTTTTGCTAAATAGCTTCAGCAAGAAAATTCTCCTGATTTTCTAAGGAGCCATCTGCATGCAAGTTCTAGAAGTAGCTACTCACATCTCATAGTTTTATCCAAGAGGTGCTTTTTCAGTTGGGGGAAGGGCTGTTACAGTATTTACTTTTATAACTAGTTCTGTGGTTCTGAAATTTTTCTCCAGTTTTGGGGTTATGGCATGGCAGAGGGGGGAAGGTGAGAAAACCCATGAATTTGGAAGCCTTCATGCGGTTTCAGTAAATTCAAGCAGTTCTTGGAGAGAAATGCTTTAAAGGGCAGAAAACTGGGGAAAGGATAACAAAAAGTTGTTTTAGCTGGTGGATGGACCTATTTCAAAGGCAGGCCTCTGGAGACAAATTTGCTGTTGCAGTGTTGTCCCCAGTCCCATACCAGTTACAGTCTTCTTGTTTTCATCAGTGTATTTGCCATGGTGCGAGGCTTTTGCAATAAACCAAGGATTCATCTGTCCTGAGCAACAGAGATTATGTTAGTTGCTACCAGCATTTTTGGCTTGTTGATAGGTTAATTTTCTTGCCGGCTCCTAGTAATACAATGCAGAACTATATGTTGAATATCTCTGGAGGTTCTACCATGCTGAGGCTTCATTTCTTATGAAAACCAAACCCATAGGAACTTTCCTTATGTTCTAGACAGGAGACCTCCTTCAAGACCTTGGGCTTGGAGCATTCCAAAATGTAACTATGCAAGTTCATACTTGTCCTTCAGCTGGCATCGCATGACTACAGCATTCCAGAAAATACATGCATTTTTAGAATTGGGAGTTTATGTGCAACAAACAAAATACCTAATTTTACAGAACTGTTATTTTAGGGTTTTCTCTTCTAGTATTGTGAGAAATGCTTACCCGTATGATGCAGTTGTTACCTTGATATCCAGTTCACCAAAGCATAGACCTAAGCCCTATAAACTTGAAATGCTATGCTGGGACTGGGCCAAAAAGTTCAGTCTCTACTAGTTCTAACAAGCTGACCAACCTAGAAAAACATGCTACAGTTAGGCACCCCACTGTGATTTTTTTTTTTTTTTTTTTTTTTCCTGAAGGCTATGCGTTGCAAGCTCTTACTTGGTTTCTGAAAAGTTTTGAGAGCTGTAGTAGCTAACTCCTTCTGAGAAGCTTCCAACCATTGCTGAGAACATCATGCAGTACTGAACTCAGGAAAGCTTTTGTGCCTGCTCCTTCTCATTTCCCAAAGGTTTGTCTCAGGAATTTTGGAGTTGTGTGATGTACTAAAGCACTAGACAAAGCATGGTGGTTTTCTGGGCTCCTAGATATATAATGCTTCCTTTGAGTTCATTTTATGCTATTTTTTTCATTCTGAATCACTAGCCTTGGTTTAGCCATATGACTTTATTGGGCTGAGAAAAAATGGATTATGTTATTAGCTTAGCGTGAGGCTTTTCTTGCTTTGCTACAGAGGAGTAGCTACAAGAACGGGATGGAAATTTTCTCCTCATTTCCCTCCTAATGTCTGGCCAGAAGTTGGCAGGTGAATTAGTGAATATTACCTACTGTTTGTTTTAAAAAGAGATACGATAGTTTTACAGAGACAGACACCCATTCACCTGCAAGAATGGGAGACATGAAATGTTGAAGAGATGCTATTAGGTTAAGTTCTGTATTTGGACTCTGCAGAGTCATTTTTAGTAATTTGAATTGCTTAGCTAAAAGTTGATTTTTGTTGAGAATTTTTTTTATCTGTTTATCTTGCTACCAGACAGTGATCAATCACCCGCCTTTGTCTGAATTTGAAATGTACCACACTTTTTTATGGTATGTATAGCAAAATAAATAATGAAAAATGAAATCACTCTTCCTGGTTTTAGCAGTCTAAAGAGTAACATGTAAGACAAACCTATTTTAAAGTATTGCTTGCCTAACGAGAGGAAATACCTGCATGTTCTGTGCCATAGCCAGGTGTGTGGTTTGGATTAAGATGTTACTAGAGATAAATCTATGTACAGAAATCCTGTGCAGAAATTGTAATTGGGAAACTTCTCTAAGGCAATTCTCCATGAAGGAGTGTCTCTGCTTTTTGAGAGATTCATTAAATTCTACTCACTGTTGTGAAACAGCCTAAATTCAGGTAGCATAGGCTACCAGCCTCTGTAAAGGATGCCTGTGGATGAACAGGTAAATGCAACTATCCCATCTTTGTCTCATAGCAGAGGCTTGGAGAAATGTTTTTACTTTCCCAGATCCATCCCTTTGGGGAAAAAGAAGAAAATTCTTTAAGACAGATTTT